AAAAAAAAAAGAAGAAATTTAAAAAAAAAGAAAGAAATATTTTTATTCGAGTAATTTTATTACGCATATTCGTTATAAAATAAGAATAGTAACATTGCAAGTTAATTAATTCTAAGCATTTATTTTTAAAATACAGTGTTGTTTAATATATTTACAAATATTAAGTTTTGTCACGATTGAAGTCACCGATTTTTTTTTATTTGCGGAGCAAATACTACTTAGGCATTCTATTGAATCAGTTATAATGACTTCCCTCCCGATGGCTTTGAATTGGCAAAGGGCCAATGACTAAGTAATTGCTTTGTTTGCTACCCGCAACCATTGTGGTTATTTTTACCAGACTGTTAAGGAAATTGGGGTAATACGTTAATATACCATAGGGAGACTTTGTACAAAAGTCGATTTTTTGGTTACCTCTGTCCCATTCGTGTTTCTAGCGTGAAGCCGTTGTGTTTGCATGGCTGTGTTTCGGTTTGAAGGATGGGATATGGCGTTAATTTACTGGGTACAGAGAAATAACACCTGAGTCCTCAGGAATGGCAACGCATGGGGGGTATCATGTGTGAAACAGTATACTCTGTTATGTGCATGGTACTGCTCATGTCTATAGGCGACGGTAACCACTTTCCATCAGGTGGGCCGTCAGCTTGTTTGCCATTCTAAGTTGTATAAAAAAAAAGTCATGACATATGAAAAGTACAGAATACTCCAACTAATCATCCAAGGCAAGATTGATGGTAAAAGAAGTGCCGGGAGAAGGCGTCAATCCTGGCTGAAGAACCTGCGGATGGTTTGGCTGTAGCATAACTTCGCTCTATAGAGCGGCAGCTTCAAAAATTAAGTTTGCCCTTATGTTGTCCAATCTCCGACAGGAGGGGGAAAGGGATTGTTAGTAATGGGGTCTAACAGCCCCATTGCTAGCAATGTACTTAACAGGTCGACCTCCACGCGGTTTCCCCTGGAAACCATCGTAGTTCTTATGGAATTCTTCACAATGGACTAACTGACCTGGGATTGTTAGGGTATATTGCTAACAATAGAATGGAACTACCGGTTACATTGCTAGCAATATACCCTGTCTGGTCGACCTCCAAGTGGTACTTCCTGAAAACCATCGAACCTGGAGTTCATCCAGGTAGGATAGAATACTCCGACAGGAGTGGAACTCGAAATGTGTGTTACCTTTAAACGATTCAATTGCTTAACCAATCTCTATTAAATTTAATTATTAAATGGAAATATTCTACTATTTGTACTGATAAGTGAATATGTTCCGGTCACGCAGATGAAGTCGTAGGTAAAAGCTAGTTATTATAAATGTAAAAATGACTTTGCTACCTTGTTACCTCTTAGCGCCTTAATTGCTTAACCTATCACTATGGAATTCGGTATACACGTATTAAATGGGACGGAGAAGGACATAGACCGTTTATCTCGGTCAATGACCACGTTCCGGTCACGCGGACGATGTCGCGGGTAAAAGATAGTGAATAAAAAGATTAGTGCAATGTTTAAGAAAACAAAAGGTCAGCTATAAATACAACAGTAGTGCCAACTGCATGAGTAATAACAAAGGAAACTTACAGTTTTATTATGAATAACAAATAGACGTTTATTTATGTAGAATAATAATTAAATTAACGCAAACACTCAGGCTGCGGGATGAGCTCCCTGTCACTTCTCTAGACTACAGTATGGGGTTCTACAATAAAGGTGTATTAAGGTTTCTTCAAGGTTGGCATCAGACATGAGACACCCCTAGTGTTGCAGGCGTCCATAGGCAACAGCAGTGTTTCCCAACCTTTTTTGTGTCATACCCCACTAGAACGTTTCTAAAACTTTTATGCCCCCATACATAATTCTTCCCGACAAAGTTTACTTGACGACTCTAATCGCTCAGTTGATATTTTGGTAACGTCAAACGAAATTATACCTAATAAATATTCACAGCATTTTTAATTTACTTTTTTTGTTAAATTTGGCACTGATATATACTCATATGCATTTAAATGGCTCGGAGCAAGAGGGTTAAAATCGCTTCGAGTCCATTTTTTAATTGCCTCCCCTTAACTATCAAATTGCCGCCCTGTGGGGTGTGGGCCCCACGTTGGAAAACACCGGGCTACAGTGACCGTATACCATCAGACGGGCTGTATGCTTGTTTGCCACCTTTGCCATATAAAAAAAAAAATAGTATTATCCATACTTAGTACTACATTATAAGTGATGGTACTACTCTAAGTAGTACATCTATTACGGGGAGGGGATTGTTAATAATGGGGATTAGCAGACCCATTGCTAGTAATATACCCTATCGGGTCCACCTCTACATGATTGCCCATGGAAACAATTGTGTTTGATAATTATTAAATTCATCACAACAGGCCATCCTCATCATTTCATCCTTCATTAGTCCCCTACTATAAATATATATACTGATAGCATAGGCTGAGTTTCTATTTCATTTTCACACATTTAAAAAAAATTCATGAGTGATTGAGCTATTAAAACTCCGAGGGGTAACAAACAAATTAATTTTAACATTTATAAAATTAGTAAAAATAACAAGTTATATGTATGAATGATGATGACATTGATAGTATAGAATTTCAAAATGACCTCACCTTTGAAACATGTTAGTTTAATCACAATCTTACTAAAATAATAAAATTATAAAAAAAAAAAAACTATGTCTGTACATTGAGATATTTAAGAAAACTTTATGTAAGGGTCTTGATAAGACCAATAGATGCCAAAACAATAAGAAAAATTCTCTGTTGGTTTGTCTGTCTATAGGTTTGTTCCTGCATTATGTAGAAACTAAGCAACACATGGTGGGGTATCATGAGCAAAACAATATACTCTGTTATGCTGTTATGTACTGCTCATGTCTATCGGCGACGTTTGCCACTTTCTATCAGGTGGGCCGTCAGTTTGTTTGCCATTCTATGTTTCATAAAAAAAAAAAAAACTAGTGCATCAAATTGAAATCAATTTTCACAATTGTATTTCCAAAAGTCTATCTTAAAATCTGGAAATGTATTGGTTTTCATGCTTCTAAAATCTGCATGTATGAAGTAGCAGGCAAAATGCTAATATAATGTTATTTGCATTAACGATTATCTGTATTATAAACACTATTGTTTATATTGTAATTATTGTTGGCATGTGTCTAATAAATATTTCTTTATTTTTTCTTTGTTGGTTTGAACATGTTCTATGTATTGTATTTCTTATTTATAATTTATTGAATACACTATTTATATGTAAAAAAAAAAAACAATGTCAATGGAAAGTGAATATACCAATATGAGCTTAAATCTACTAGAGTTCTCTTCCAGCACACCCAAGTTGGAAAGGGGCATCAATGTCAGCAAATAAAGCAATATTATGTATGCCCTTATTATAATTATCTCTTATTTTATTCCATAATATGGTTGGTAGTTAAGATTTCAACTTCACTTATGGACTCTGTTGGGCACAGCTGGTAGGAGAGAAGACTACCCTTTTTTCACTTTAGAAACAGTTTAAGCATTTTTACAATATTATCCAGTCATGCAAATTGTTTCATAATAAGTATGTATTTTCTGTATTCATACTGTTATTAGTATTATATAGTCATTTAATATATTTTACAGTTTATAATGATTCATATTCATATTGTAGAAGTAATTAATAAATAGTTTAATAACAAAATTACTCTGCTCATTCCAAAGGTTGCCCAGAAAAGATCACTCTTAGTGATAAGGCCACCCATTGTTTTAACAGTATAATATTTTCTGGTAATTGTTTATATTTGTAGTCAGTTTACTGTTGTAATCTTATGGAGAAAACAAAAAAAGAGTAGATACTCTTTTTTGTTTGTTGACAGACAGATGTCTATCTGCTTTTTTCTGTTAGCTGGGTAATGCCATTGGCATAAATATTTGTTTGAGACTAGATGATATGAGTATTTGTTTGTTCACCACCCCTATTCACTGACAAAACAAAGGGGATTAGTCTTTGAATTGAGAAAAGATATTGGTGTAGTGATTTGCAATCTAGTCACAAGACCAATGCAGTACAAGTTAAAAACTAACTGGTAAAAAAAATAATTTCAAATAACTTATGAACATTATAGATGTTCTCCATAATTTATGGTGAAGAGAACATGTCTCTATAACTCATGATGAATATAAAAGATTATTTCTTACATGAAACACTTGTGTGATTATTTTGAGTTAGACAAGGATTGTCATAAATTAAACCTAAAAATAAATATTATACTCTATGTAAATTTAACACTGACAAATATTTATATATGTTTATAACCTGTTTTTTATATAACGAAAAACCAATTATTAAACAATCTTATTAATGTGTCTTCAGCAAAAAAAAACCTATTATGTAATTTAGTTGTTTAAAAAAAATTGAAATTTAATATTAATTGATTATATATTAACTTTTTGTCTTATTTTCATAAAAAGACATGATAACATTATTTACAATCTTTTTCAAATATATAAAAAATTAAACAAAATATAATAATTTAAATATTAATTTTAATAAATATTATTTATTCAAAATATTTTTATGTTTATAGTAATAGTACAAATAATAGTGTATTAATAGTACAAATAGATAAAAAGTATTTATACAATTTAACAAGTGATAAACTTAAAAAAAAAAATTTAAACTGAGAGTAGAAGTTGAAACTAAACTAATACTTTTGTGGGCAATGACACCATTTCATTGATAATGCATTCATGTGGGACATGATTGCATACAAACATACAATACAAACATACATGTACATTGTATTAGTTATCACCAGTAAAACAATTTCTACGTTATCTAGCAGTCTCCCAGCATACTATTGTTAATGAAACTCGAATAATAATTAAGAGTTTTAAATAATTATGACAACTTTCTCCCTATTACAATACAGAGAATTCTAGTTTCGTTTGTTATAATTATGAATTAAAATTATATTACGTATTATAATATAACATGTTACTCACGTCGTACGGTGCATTTTTTTCGGCGATTGAGCTTCTATCATTATCTGAAACGTGAAAAATTTGACAAAGTAAGGAATTGGGTTACACTGCACTTGGATTTGTAGGACACATTTTGAAGCGATTATAAAGTGGGAATCTTTAAAATTGCATTACTGATTATTAGATACTGATATGCACTACCATCGTCATCCGTTTCAGTCGGTGCTGTGGCGTTTTCCGTCTTTCTAGATGCGGAACTATCCATTACTTCGATATGGTCCGTGTCGCCTGAAGCCATTTTTGTTTTCTAGTTACACCCCCTATTTTGAAGTCTTTATAATAAATGTATACACAATATTAATTCTCATGGCTCACATAACACTTGCATCACGAACACAACGATTCACTATAATTTAATTAGAAGAAATCAATTAGTTTACGCGAAAATGCTGTACCGAAGCATCCGTCTGACACGACCGTTCATAGTAACTGTGTTGCTGTAATGAAAAATAGCGATAAACAATATTTTTTGATTGAGAATATTGGAGAACCCATAGATTATTATTTTCTATATTGAGAGGATTTTCTAATTAAAAAAAAAAACCAAATCGCTAATATCAAATAGTACAATAATTATAATGTATAACCATAAAGCTTAAGAAAAATAGATTTTACACCATTGCTTAAAAGTTTCACCTTTTTGAAAATGTTTTGTATCACCATAACTTTTAAATACATAAATATATTTGGACGTATGGAGTACAAACCATTAGAATACTTATATTATGCCAGAAGACAGTAGCTATATATTCTTTTAAATAGTTTTTTGCAGGTAGAGACAGGTTTTCGTCTTGTCTTCGAAGTATAAGTAATTAATAATACTGTGAAGGTTTGTAAGGATGTAATTTTTGTTCTTAGTGATAGTAAGACATGTTTAGAAAACAAATATTACTACTAACATGTAATACTACTATATTTAGTTGACAACATGTTAGTACTATTACTTATTAATTAAAGTGTTATTACTTGCTATTGAGCATCAAGCGTCATCTGTGATTGGCATCAATTCAATCAATCAATTCTTCATTTAATTTTTCTAAATCTATCTTTAAAATAAAAAATTTAATCTCAAAGGAATTCTTTATTTTAAGGCCCAACATGAACTAATTTTTTTACAAATTTAAGTTATTATTATTATTATAATTTAGATATATAAAAGTTCATTAAACATTAATGGCGTGAAATAATAAAGTTAAAAGATTGGTTTAGAAAAATAGCACCTTAGAATTGGTCCTATTAACTTTTACCGAACAATTATTAAAAAAAATTATAGATTTTTCAATGGCAACACAGTTCTGCGAAACGCCATGTTTATTTCTTTTCCGTCATATTGTTGGTTGCCGCGGTAAGATTTTTAAGGTTATTTCTTATCGTAGCGTCTTTTCAATTATCTACAGTAATTGGTGTTTATGTGTATGAATTGACTGGATAATATTTCTTAATAATTTCAACTGAATCGTTATGAAATTTTAGTATCCGGCTCTTCGCGGCAGTGGACTCGACATTAATAAAACATTTTGCATTGACTAGCGGTATTCCGTCGTAATGGGTAAAAAAGTCAGAGAATACAAGTCGGGCGATTTTATTTTCGCCAAAGTAAAAGGCTATCCAGCATGGCCGGCACGGGTGAGTGGATTATTTTCGTATTTATATATTTTCCAACAAACGCCAGCAGTATTTTCTTATAGGACGGAGCGCGGGAAGACATGTTGCAGGACGCTTTTGTGTCTTTACAGCGCTTAGAATAACTTATCAATATACGTTCAATGTTTACATAATCGCATTTTGACAGTATATTGTAAAGACATCACTTTGATTTTAACATTAAATTAAGATACAAAATGTTCAAACTGAATACTATTATTAATGCTTAAGATTTATTTATACAATTCAATGAATTACTACGCTGTTGTGCGTGGTCTCTAATTATTTACAAAATGTACATTTTACATAAAAATCTTTTTACTATAGTTTTAAATATCTAACATTAATTTTATATTAAAAAAATCATAACCTAATTTTACCCAATTTGCATGTAAATATTTTGTCTTAATGATTAATATTCACTATTTTATGTGGCACATTTAGTTAATAATGTTGACATATCTTTTCAATAGATTTCAAAACGAAGGAGGTTCTCTATTCGGTCATATTTTTTTTTTTGTATGTTACTTTTATTTGAAAAAATATTTTTTTATCTCAAAGGTTATATTTATAGGTCCTATAGAAGATTAATCAAAATTAATTCGAAAGTTTACTTTTTAAATTTAAATATTAACATAATCTGTGTAAATAACAATTTAGTAAATTGTTGAAGAAAATTATTGTGTTAAAATTATAATGAATTAATATTTTTTTGAAATATATATTAAAAAGCAGGGATAAGATATAAACTTTGGGAACCTATGTCAAATGAGAAGCAAAAATGAACCCTCTTATTAATAAAAATTTTAAACATCTCATAAATCAATTTTAGCTATTGAGATAGTTTGTCCTTTTAACTAAATTCTTAATTTGAATCAAAGGGACAATATAGTCTAATATTTAAAATAGGTTTGAAGAAGGAATTTAATAAAATTAGTTTGTTGTGTTATATAATTGAAGTTTGTGTTCAATAAAAAAAAAAAAAATTACTTCAGTCAGGGCAAAATTAATAATTTTCATTTTAAATCCAGTTATTTAGTTTTAAAATCTAAACTACTGAATTGATTTTGATATAATTTCTATAAAAAAAAAAAATGGTGAAAGTGTTTCTTTTCATTTAAAAAAAGAATTTTCCAGATCGGTTTGTAATTGATGGAGTTATAAGATGACAAACACAAAAAAAAAATGTCACCGAATTGAAACCCTCCTTATTATTGAAGTTGGTTGAAAATTTGAACTGTGTACAGTAAAGGCTTTATTATAAATATATTAATGTACTTGTTTCAGGTGCAAAGAATGAATGGAAAGAGATATTTTGTGTATTTCTATGGCACCGGAGAGACGTAAGTTGCTTTTCTTAATCCTGATGCTCTAATTTTTAAGCAAGAACCAAAATAAAAAGGAGATTGAACATTTTTGATTCTATACTGTGTGATTGTGTTGTAGGGGTGGGTAATATACAGCAATAACTATATATTTTAGTTATAATATCTATATATTGGCCTAATAAGGAATATGTTAATTGTTATTATCTAATATCGAAATTAACAACCTGATCGAAATTAATAGAGTGAAGAGAAATGAATATAGATATCCAACCGTGATGTGGGTGATATTTAATGTGTGAAAACATTTATTAATATATATATTATTAGTAAATGTTTTAGACACTTTGAGAATGCTTTGTCTGATGCTGTTGTTTTGTTTGAATCTGAGTAGTTTTACACCTAACTTTAATATTATAATAAATATATATATATATATATATCTTACTGATGGTGCAATATACTGTTTAAATTTAATATTATTCATTATGTTGCACTGTCAGTTATATTTTTTGTTATTTCTGTCTACAGTCCACTGGTAGATAATGAAATATGATTTTAAGTCCTCCATTTATACTTTCTAGGTGTAATTAAAGTTTAATAAATAAATAAATGAAATTACATTTCCCGTTTCCAGTGCAAATTTACCACCGAACATGATATTTGATTATGCGGAGAACAAAGACAAGTTCCTCACTAAGACAGTGAAGCGTCGCGACTTCAATGATGGTGTGAAGCAGATCGAGTATGACTTCGCTAACAACGTACCCTTGGAGGACGTCATCGGAGTGCCTCTCGAGGTAAGTCGATATTTTTAATGGAATGGTAATCCTGCTTGCATTAACGGTATGCGCTGGTGGCAGGTCAGGCAGGTCAGTTAGCCCATTGTGATGAATAACCTGAATTCAGCATGATGATTTCCAGGTTTGCTAGCAATGGGGCTGATAATCCAAATTATTAACAATCCCTTAGTTGGTATAAAAACTAGCCTATATTCTTCTCCATACTATATAGTACGTGAATACCAAATTTCATAGTGATTGGTTAAGTCGTTAAGGTGCTATAAGGTAACAAACAAACTTACTTTCACATTTATAATATTAAAAAAGATGTAGAAATCTTCAGGGTTTTTTTTAATGGATGATAATGAAATGGTAATCCCACCCGCGCTATCGGTATAAACTGGCGGGGCACCAGTGAAGGATGATAGGTGAGTATGAAGTAGGTCAGTTAGCCCATCGTGACGAATTCAACAAGAATTGTTTACGATGGTTTCCATGGGAACCACGTGGAGGTTGACCCAATAAGGCATACGAGGTTTGTCCGGAAAGTACGTATAAAAGTTTTTTAAAAATTTTATTTTACAATTATTCAGGTAAATCCATTTTATCCCCTTCAAAGTACTCCCCTGTGACATAATGCACTTGTGCCAACGCCGTTTCCACTGTGAGAAGGCTCCTTGAAAGTCCTCTGGTTGTAGGTTTCTCAGCTGCCCCGTCGTAGCTTTTTTTATCTCATTTATGTCCCCCAAATGCCGCCCCCGAAGTACCAATTTGGTTTTTGGGAACAAGAAGAAGTCACACGGGGCCAAATCCGGCGAATAGTGGGGGTGTTCGGTCACCGTAATGGAATTTTTACTCAAAAACTCACGGACAACAAGAGAGGTGTGGGCAGGGGCATTGTCGTGGTGAAGAATCCAACGCCCCTCTCGCGCCAATTCTGGACGAACTCGTGCCACACGAGCTTTGAGGCGTCTGAGCACATCGACGTAGAATTTTCCATCAACTCTATGGCCTGGAGGGACGAATTCTTGATGGACAATCCCCCGAACATCGAAAAAAACAATCAACATTGTCTTGACATTTGAGCGGGATTTTCTTGATTTTTTTGTTCGTGGTTCCCCGGATGTTTTCCACTCTTTGCTTTGGGATTTTAATTCGACATCAAATTCGTAGAACCAAGACTCATCTCCAGTGATGACTCGGTTCAAAAAGTCACCATTCTCTTCGGCTTCCAACCAGTCCTCACAGCAAGCAACTCTTCGTGATTTTTGATCCGGGGACAAAAGCTTGGGAACGATCTTGGCGCAAATTTTTTTCATTTGAAGTTCGTTTCTTAGAATTTCGTGGACCACGGTTTTGCCCAAATTAAGCTCTTCAGCCACCTGTCTGACCGTTAAACGACGGTCCCCATTAACACAAGTTCGAATTCTTTCCACGTTTTCGTCGGAATGTGAAGTGGAAGGACGTCCTGAACGTGGGTCATCTTGAACGCTTTCTCGGCCCTCTCTGAATCTTTTTAGCCACTTGTGGACGGTTGGTTCCTTCACAGCATCATCCCCATAAACTGTTCTGAGATCGGCAAAAATTTCACGGCCATTCTTGCCGAGTTTCGAGAGAAACTTGATTACGACGCGCTGCTCTTCAACGGAAGCGGGCTCCATGCCGACGGGGTTTCGTTAAGAGGTAACTTCACAGATGGCGTGACAAGCCAGTTCGCACCGCACGGCGGTCAGACCAGAACTGAAGCATTGTTAGGGACATAAGGAAGGGGTCCTGCGCTTACCTGGCCTCCCCACTCCTCTTTCTCGCATTCCAGAACACTTTTATACGAACTTTCCGGACAGACCTCGTATTGCTAGCAATGGGGCTGTCAAACTTAATTGCTAACAATCCCTTTCCCCCCAAATCTTCAGGGTTGGAAGTTTATTTACATTTGAACGGTTGCATTTGCTAAGTAGTGGTAAAGTGAATAAATATGTCTTTTATGTTGACTAGGCACCAGCAGACACTACCGCTAACGACACCGGGAATGACACAGCCAATGACACCATGGACGACTCCGTGGCCGACACCACATCGGCCGACGACACCGTTGCTGATGAAGTAAGTTCATTATTTATTTATTTACAGCAAATACAGATCGTATTTAGTGATAGCGTTCAGGATGCAATCTGGTCATGTTCTACTCAACAAACTTTATCATCTTATAGGAATGAAACAATCGCCAAATTGTATGTATTGTGATAAAATGGAAGACCTACATTTACTGGTTGAATGTGGCAGGAATTGTAACCTAAAAACAGCGAATTCTGGGTGATATGCCATTGTATAACGGTAATATCAATCTAATACTGAGTTAATCTGGCAGTCGCAATGCAAAATGGCTATATCTGTGGGTAAAGGTGTCCCTGACGAGCTGACGGACTGATTTTCAGACATTCCCTATTAGGCTGGCATTGTCACTCAGGTGTACTAAAACTTCAACAAATATTTGATAAAAAAAAAAAAAAAAAATTTATTTATTTAAGCTTTAATGCACAGTGAAACTATTTACATATGGCGGACTTAACACCGAACGGTGTTCTCTACCAGTCTATTGGGCTAACCGATAAATATGTAGGTGGTACATTCATGAATTGAGGAAATATAAAAAGTAATACTTAATATATTATAAACATATAATTAGACTAAATATAATAAATAAATATATTGATGATGAATGTGGTAAAAGCGAAAGAGATTTGTTTGAATCGAAGCATTTGGCGTTCCATTGTTTCTGTCTACCCTAATGGGAGACAGACGTGACAGATATGTATGTATGTATGTTTAAATAAATATATACATGCATAAATAAATACTTAAATATTATTATAATGAACAATTAACTGTATTAGAAGAGCAAATGAAACAATGGTTTGTTTTATTTATTTGCTCCTGTGCTTTTGGGGTGGATTTATATATATATATATATATATATATATATATATATATATATATATATATATATATATATATATATATATATATATATATATAAATATATAAATACAGTATATATATATATATATATATATATATATATTCAACAATAAGTTAATAACAATGTTAGCAAAGGCGAACTTATCTCTAAAAGAGATTTCCAGTCAACCTAACGCAGTGGCGTAGGAAGTAGTGAATGGGCAGTAGTAGTGCAAGACAGAAATTAAAATAAATATTTACATTTACATTTTTTCTACATAGTGTAAAACTAAAGCCCTTTTCCGCCGTTTGTATGCTTAGATCTTTTTACACTACGCAATGGATTATGTTGTTTTATGATTGTTTTAGTTTGAAAGTACATAACATACATATGTATGTAAGTACATAACACCTTAGTCCTCAGAAATGGCAACGCTCGAAGGGTGTCATGGGCAATACACACTTATGTCCATGTTACTGTTCATGTCTATAGGCGATGGTAACCATTTTTCATCAAGTGTGCCATCAGTTTGTTTGCCATTTAAAAGTTGTATAGTAAAATTTCGATTTTTCTCTCTATATCCAAGTGTGTCTCACAAAATTACAACTACAAAAATTTGGATAATTCCATTAAATACAATTTAAAGATATAATTGTGTATGGAAAGAGTCCAGTACATTAAAGAGTCTTTCAACCAAAATTCCCACTATAAGACCAGTGTGAATTTGCCGAGGAGTCTCACATTTCAGTTTACTGTTAACCTTTCTCTGCATGATTTTTTTTATTGGTGAAATTAATGAAGGTGATATAATTCATGTTCAAAATTAAAGGGAAAACGGTTAAAAAATTAAATTTGACAGCTATGTTTTTTTTTTTCTTCAATGGACATAAAAATGTATCCAGACACGATCAACTTAAAGTGTATATAATTTTTGGGCATTCAATGTTGTGATGGAAATTTCCACCATTATGCAAAGAAGGGTTAAATTTTTGTCACTTTTGATTTATCACTCAGTGCCATCTAGTTCCAAAATAAGCATCTCATTAGAGTACATTGCATTTTGTTTTTTTTTGAATTTTTTTTTTAATTACACTTGTAATTAGATCGAAAGGGCTCGACTAGTTTACATTACATTTGCTTATTATTATTATATTATAATAAAATTATATATATCTTATTACATTTGCTTTAAATTGGTGCAGGCTATAATTTTATTTTATACTACTATAGTGGTAACCAAGCATACGGCCCGTCTGTTGGTAAACGGGGTTACTATAGCCTATGGACGCATATAACACTATAACAATAATCTAGTGCTCATAGTGCCAGCTCTGCTTAGTCTAGAACAGGGGTCCCCAAACTTATTTTGTCTACAGCCCACTTTGAGAATAAATTATTTTTTTAGCGCCCCCATTTTTTCACCTGCTTAAAAACCACTATTACTTCAAATTACAAATCACCCTCCAAGCCTCTACACAACGCCATAATATTTTTCTGGGTCCCCCGCCCCCTTCAGACCTGCAGCGCCCACAAGGTGGCGTTATCGCCCACTTTGGGAAAGGCTGGTCTAGAACTAGATGGCGCTGTGCGTTGTGATCAGTGGTGTTTATTTATGTGTTGCAGAGTATAGCCAACACGACACAGAACGATGGCGGAGTTGAGGACTCGGATGAGACTGGCGCGTTGGTTATCGATGAAAGCAATAAGGAAAAGGTAGCATTAAAAATATATATATATATATATATATATATATATATATATATATATATATATATATATATATATATATATATAGGATAGATATTCCTTCTTTTTTACGAAGCGATTCACAACACTTTTATCTCCCCTGTAAGTTCGTACATACATATCTGTCAGCCCCGTTTCTCATTAGGGTAGGCAGAAACAATATAATGCCAAATGCTTGGATTCGAACATGTTTTTCTGTTTTCAATTTTTTTTTATGGGTAAAGTGAGACGTTTGAATTTTTAGTGACCAAAATAACTTGCTATAATTGGCCAAACGTGCAATTGCCAAGTCATTATAATCTATCTATATTTATAATAAATCTGTAGAGAGGTCAATTCTGTACATGAAATATTTCTATAATATTCATATTTCCAAAATAACTATCAGGCGGTGATTAGTGATCGATACTGATGCCAAAAATGCAATCAGTAAAATTTTTGTCTGTCTGTCTGTTCGTTATAGAAACAAAAACTACTCGACAGATATTAACGAAACTTGGTACAATTATTCTTCATACTCCTGGGCAGGTTATAGTATATTTTTCATCATGCTACGATCAATAGGAGCAGAACAGTGAAGGGAAATATTGGGGAAACGGGAGAAGTTACTCCATTCTTAAGCTTCCGTCGCGTGTGCAGCTTTTAATGGCCACTTTTTGAAAAAATGTAGAAATGTTCACCCGTGCGACGCCGGGACGGGCCGCTAGTTATTATATAAATAAATATGTCTAATATTGATAGGTTATTGATTAAATGAACAATTTATAACAAACTCGTTGAGTAACCGCTTCCATAGACACTGACTTAAATAACAGACTTGCTACTACATGAGATCTCACAACTTTTTGTAGTAAAAGTACTATGTTACAAGAGTTGGCATTTTTTTTTACATTTACAATTAAAGAGAAAAATATTTATTGCCAGAATATTATATATAAGAAGTGTCTCATTTTAAGCAAAAGAATTTGGCTCAGCCAATGCTGTGAATGTCCCAGTGCAATGTGTACAGCTGCACAGTGCTGGTTTTTTTATATTTTATATTATTATTTTATTAAATTTTATCCTTTTGATGCCATTATTGTTCTCTAGAAGGGAAGAAAATCAAATGCAAAACCAGCCACACCTGCCAAGCCGATGAAAGAGCCGAAAACTCCACGCGGCAAAGCCAAGAAGGACGAGGCTAAAGAAGAAGACAGAGAAGAGGAGAAGAAAGAGGAGGAAATTGTGAGCAGAAGCGGAAGGAAAATACGACCTAAGAGGTATATATATGTATTTATTTTTTTTTTTTATTAGAAAAATTCAAAATTACAGAAAATTATTAGCATTCAGAAATCAATCAGGTTTATATTAATGTTAAATCCCTAGTGACTATTTCAAGTTGTATTAATATTATGTGGTTTCTTTTTTATTTATAGCTTTCTTTCAATACAATTTAAAGGAAAGATAGCCAAATTATTATATATATATATATATATATAGTAAATATTATAGAAATTTAGTTTTATGATTTTAAGATAGGCCAGTTAATTTTCGTTTTGTAAAATAATAAGTATTTTAATTCCGTTATATTTAATATCAGGTATTCTAAAAATACTTAATTTTCGAGTGGGACGTACACTTTCTAGTGACAATATGAAATAAGCATTCAAATCTCAATTTGCTATTCCTTCCTTCAGTGAGACACTCACGTGAAATGTTACTTTTGAGTCATGACTCATAAATAAATACGTATGTGTACATAATATATAATACAACCATGGTTCCTAGAGAACAGGGGACATATCATCACCGCAGAACATAGGCCTCTCCCTAGTTGCGGATTTTGCTAGTAGTTGCTATGCTTGGCAATTGCAGTTTGACTTTTGGTGATGTTTTAAGAGGGTGTTTGCTGCTGTCCATCTCTATACCATAAATTTCCTTAGTCGTCTCATACGACACCTACGAGAAAGGAAGGGGGGGCTTATTCTATGACGGGACACTATATACTTGTGTACCGTACTTTAAAAAAAAATTAAAACAACCTCTTTTGGAAGTCACTTCAAAAGAAAAAATTGATAAATTCAGAACCTTTTTAGTAGTTGTTAAAATAAGTGGTAACTTTCCAGGTACATAGACGAACAAACAGAAGAGAACGCTACATTGCCGTCGCCGGCGCCTAAGAAACGTCGGGGCGCGTCGCCGCCTTTGGAGAAGGAGAAAGAAAAGGTGGAACCTACAAAAGAGAAGTCCGTCGAAAAGGTTTTCAAGCAGTATCATACTATTTCACAGGTAAGCTATTTGGTACATACTTTATAAATTTACATAGATATTAGATAAGACTGGCTGTACAATATTTGCACGTAATCGTTGAATTATTGAACGCAACTGTCACGTGACAGTTGCTATGTGTCAACACAGGTCAGATTCTATATTTTAATTATTACTCTATGGTTGTTGTTGTCGTACAGTCGAGCAGCTATATGCTCAGGAATGGCAACGCATGGGGGGTATCATGGGCGAAACAGTATACTCTGTTATGTCCATGGTACTGTTTGTCATTCTAAGTTGTTTAAAACAAAAATATGCCGACTAATTTATGTAGAACTGTGTATTTCTAAATACACAGTTAAAAGGTTACACCAGGAACACAAGATTTCGTTATCTAATTCTTTATGTGGCTGTGCTACACTGCCATTTGCTTTAAATCGGTGCAGATTACGTTTAATTGGAAATGTTTTTATTTATTTATTTTTATGAGTATAATATACATACATAACTGTCACGCCTGTCTCCCATTAGTCATTCTTCAAACAGTTGTTTAAAACAAAAATATTTGCCGATCATTATTTTGATTCAAAAACTTAATATATGTTTGGAATGGCTTCAAATAATTTAAGATTGGGTACTATTTTAGTAACATTTTTGATAAATTTTCTTTTTGTACACGGGCAATCTGTAAGTAAAATCTTTTAAGATAAAAACAAAATAATAATTTCGAAGTCAGTTTATAACTAACAAAGTTATGACGTAACTAATATAAATACAGTAAAATTGAGAATCTTTTCGTAGTCGGGTAAAAAGAAGGAGACACGCAATCAAGTTTTATTTATTTTAATGTTAGTTACCTTATAATTGCGTCACTTATGAACTGATTTGGAAAATTATTTTATTAACTTTAAGAATAAAATATTAAATTAATAAAAAAAGAAGACAAATGAAGAAGAATTTTCCAAATCGGGTCATAAATGACGGAGTTATAAGTTATAACAATTGTAAAAAAATACATTCGAACTTTTTAAATCATGTACCTCTTTTGTTTGATGTCGGTTAAAAATGTCATTAGAATCGGTTGATCGGTTTTAGGTTAGTATGATAAATATTTTGAACAATTTTGGGTTTTTATATATCAAAATTACTTGTTACAGTCCGAATTGGAGGACTTGAAGGAACCATACAAACAAGGTAAGTAGTTGAACATATTTTTTTACAAATTAAAAGGAATTAAAGTAATCCCTTTTATTTAAAAAAAAAAAAAACATAATTTATTTATATTTTATTTCAATAGGTATACATTACAGAGAATTAACAATGTTATAATAATTTATACAGTATAATAATGTTTTGTTCAAGATAACTCTCCAAAAATATGCGTACACAGCATGATCAAAACATGAACACACAGCTAAACTAGTATGTAAACACAATATAATTTATACAACAAAAAATGAAGAATGAGTAATTAAAGAATATATCGCCGTAAAAAAATATCAAGTCCATAAAAAAGACCAAAATTTACATAAAAATAATTTATTTAATCAGTGCATTAAGCAGTGTAAACAATTCCTTTGTTTTTTTTTTTTCTTAAAGTTATGAACATTAAAAATGCAACGTTCCAAATTTAAAATTTACAATACCGCGTAAATGTATATAAAAAAAATAAAGTTTTACTAAATTGTTTATAGAAAGATGGACGGCGTATTAAACACGAATCTATTTTCGGAAGATATTTATAATGAGTATAATGATAATTTCGCATTAGAAAAATGTATAGACATATTTGAAAATGAGTTTACAGCAACAGAGACATCTGTTCTCAATAATAATAATTCTGCAGGTAATTTAAAATACTAAATTTAAATGACACAGTGTACAATTGTTTTTTTTTATTAGTATCATTTAATAATTATTTATATTAAAATGCTTATTTATTTATTTATTTATATATGTGTACAAGGTATACATAATGCTAAAATTATTCTTTCTCTTGAATGCGTTAGAATATTAGTAATAATTAATATACGTACACATTAAAATTTACAAGCATTAATTTACAAGCTTTTGTACCACATTTTATTGGTCAATAAACTTTAAAAAAATAAGAGTTCTAAAATGAAACGACAAACGAAATAAGTTCTTTAAATTCCCGTTGTCTATTTATAGAGGTGGGTAAAATTTAGTTTGTGGGATTTGACGTGAAAATAGACATACACAGATATCTTTTAATAAATAATAGATAATTTTAATATTCATTTATAACTTTTACAGTAAAAAATAATTCACATACTAATGATATAGAAATATCAAAACATACAACTGAAGTGACTACCAAAGAACTAAAAAGAACAGTACCGACTTTTGGTAAGAAACAAAACACAAAAACCAAGAAGGTCAACGAGAAAGCCGTTCTGAAGCCAAAAAAATTTATTGCTCCTATTAAAACTGATAATAATTTTGAAAATAAAATTGATAACGCGTCTGCAATAGACACAAGTAATATAGAAATATTTTCAAATTTAGAACATAATAAAATAAAGACTATTGGTCAAATTAATAATGTATCAGAATTCACTTACCAATCCATTCTTAAGCCAAACAATACGCAATTATATCAAGAACCTTCGACGAACGTACAAAGCTTTAATACTAACAATAATGACCAAATAGCATTGGATTTTAATCCAAAATGTTCAGAAACAACAAGTAATAAGACATTGGGGGGTTTGATTTCCGGATCGCTAAATATATTGAATGACGTGGACCTCGCAATGTCACAAAATAGTGACAATGCATGCGTTACTTTGTCACAAAGTCGCGCCGAATCTTTCTCTTCAGTGGTATCTTTAAAGAAAACATACAAAGACTTAGATGTTAATAGTTTCGAAATGAAAAATGTATCTTGTAATATTCAAAAGGGATTTATCAATATTGATTGTAATTCTGCAATTGAAAATACTAATTTAAAAATGCTGAGAGATCCAAAGGATCCAGAGCCTAGGAGATACCATAAAATCCCCACGGGAGAGGACTTTATCAATTTATTTCCTAATATCGAAATTTTAAAAGTAAAACCTGTAGCTATGTCGACGGAATTCGGTGATATGGGGTTCAAAATTAAATATTCTGAATATATAAAGACACACCCCATAGAAAATTGTGAATCCAAAGAAGACAAAGACACTTATGCGAAAATATTAGAATTATATCCAGAGGAAAATAGAGTTTTAATTGATAATCTCAAAAAATGAATTTACTCTCTATTTATTGTAATAGATAATAAATATAATTTTTGTTAATGTTTTGTTTATTTTAATCTATTTCAGTAACTACCAACAGGAGGTTTGCAATTCGTTCGTATTTTTTTTTTATAATATTTAGAATAATTTAGAATGGCATACAAGTTGTTAACCCAATGGTAAGTGGTAACTGTCGCCATGGTACTCCTCATGTCTATAGGCGACGGTTACCACTTTCCATCAGGTTGGCCGTCAGCTTGTTTGTCATTCTAAGTTGTATAAAAAAAAAAAAACATGAATAGTACCATGGATATAACAGAATACAATATTATGTTCATGGTACATGGTAGAACTCGAATGCTAATTATAGTTACAGTTACCCATTCAAATGTGAAACTACTTGTTCCTTGTACCATGCTAATTTGAAAAGTGCAACTGTCGACTTTCTCGCGGGTTCTTCTCAGCAGATAACAACATTCCGAATTTAACAGTACATTTATAAAAATTGACGATTTAAAATAGCGTGTAAACAAGTCTCATTTGAATAAAGATTTTAAGAGAAACGGGTAAATAATTGAAACGCTTGATATTGTAGTACTCTTTTATCTCTTAAACATTCGTAAGAAAAATATAAAGATTATGACAGAAATGTAAAAACAAAAGAAGATAAAAAATCAATTGAAACATATAATAGGCGTGTTATGATGGCCAGTATTATGCCACAGATTATTCTACTTTGTAGTCTATGGACGGCTGCAACATCAGATGTGTCACGCTCGATTTGCCGACCCTGAAGAGACCATAATACACTTTTTTTGTACCCCAAACTGTAGTCTCCATTCAGGGAGCTCATTCCACAGTCTCATGTTTTATTTATATATTATTTTTTGCAATTGTTTACACAGAGGACGTTGAAAAGGACAACATACTGATCGCGTACCTGCCCACCGGTCAATATGTTGGTATAAAGCTGTTCCAATCGCGTCCCACATCTTTCAAGAACGAATCTGCAAGGTTGCAGTGGGATAAACAGGCCGCTTCTAACGCAGTCACTCTCAAATTGCAATTAGGTGAGTATAAATTATTTTGATAACTAATTTTTACCCGCGGCTTTGTTTATTTAGTTAGTTTTTTTCGTTTAGAGTTCGACTTCTAAATCTTAGTCCTCAGGTATAACGAAACATGAGTATTTTAGCTGACTTCAAAAAGAAGGAGGGTTCTCAATTCGATTGTATTTTTTTTTCTTTTTTATCTTACAACCCTATAATCGATTTGGAAAATTCTTTTTTTATCTGAAAGGATATATTTACAGATTGGTTCCATACAATTATAGTTGGCACTTTACATGAAATAAAAAAACTAATTTTGTTTTTTTTTTTCTTTTTGCAGAAAGAGGCCAAATAAAAGCTGAATCAATATTGGCGCAGCTGGTGATGGAGCTTAATCTCAGTGAAGAGGAGAAAGCCACACTGGACAAAGATAGAGAGACAGGTAAGCTACTCTTTCTCATACTATACTTTGTGCCTTACAGTATGACGTGAATGGCTGGTCACTAAAATGAGAGAAAAAAAAAATACTAAAATATAACTTAGGAGTACAAGATACTTAACTGTCAGAAAGTGCTTAGAGTGGCAAACAAGCTGATGGTCCACCTGATGGAAAGTGGTACCTGTCGCCTATAGACATGAGCAGTACCATGGCCATAACAGAGTATACTGTTTCGCCCATGATACTCCCCATGCGTTGCTATTCTTGAGTGGTCAGGTGTTATTCCTCTGTACCCTGTAAATTCACTGCCATATGTGGGATACCTTGGGCACCTCTGTCCCTTTCGTGTTTCTATCGTGAAGCAGTTGTGTTTGCATGGCTGTGTTTAGGTGTTTAAGATGAGATATGGCAGTGAAATTAAAGGGTACTGAGGCATAACAACATAATCCTTATAAATCTCAATGATCATGGGGTTTATAATGGTGGGCAGTGTATTTTTTGTTATGTCCATGGTGCTGTTCATGTCTACAGGTGATGGTTACCAGTTTCCATCATGTGGGCCGTCAGCTTGTCTACAATTCTAAGTCGTATAAAACCTTAACATTTTATATTAACCTCTCAACTGTGTCGCGTCCGCTCAGCGGACATATAGATAATAATGTCATATATACTGTTTTGTCTAAACTAGCTTGGCGATAAGCTTAAATTATTGTAAACAAACCACCTCTTGTCCCTAACGCCAAGAATGTACGTAAAATAATGAAATAGGAGGCCCACTTAAGTGTCAATTGAAGAGGGACTTTTTTGGTCCATGTTTATAAACAAGTGCTGTATAAAAAAAATTATTGGAACATAAGCTATTTTATTTTTATTTTATCAAGTATATAATATTGTACAAAAAATATATAATTTTACACCCATCAAGGTCTTAGTTTTTTAATAATTAAAAAATCAAAGATAATTTATAGGTGACCCCATTTTATTTCTCATAGAACAGTTGCAATGCAATTCAAGTCAAGTGTAGTGTAAGAAATTACATAAGGAATCTAAATGGAATATAAATCTAATCTGAATTTTGTATAATTGCAATTAGATTTCGGAAAAATCAGGTTTTTTAAATCTATACGCTAAAAGTACCTAGTCTGTGTAAAGTCCGCCCACGGGACGCCACGGATGTGGATTTTCCACCAATTTGCATGACACAGTTGAGAGGTTAGTTTGATTCCTGTTAAAATATTATTACATTTTAATAATAATAATAATAAATTTATTTGCATTAAATAGGGTAGGTATCGGTGGTCTTGTATTACATAAAGTTTCGTGCCTATTTAGCCATTACAGAATAGCATGCAAATGTCCCATTTTGATAGGAATTGATTAATTTAATTTATGCATCGACAACTATATTAGATATTTATCTATTCTTTCTTGAAAAATTCGTCAACAGAGTAAAAGCTTTTGCTAAGTAACCATTTACGTAATACAATTTGAAATTTATTTAATGGAAGTTCCTTTATATCCTTTGAGTAATATTATTATTCTCACATTTCTAGACGAGAAGAAGTCAAGGGTACAATTTTTGAAGACAGAAATGAAGTTAATAGAGTTGGACGCCAAGATAAAAACATGCCTGTGCCTGGAGAAGGCTGACACAGAGCTATGTCTCAAGTTATTGGACGAATTGATGGGTAATTAAGATCTACTTTAAGTAAACTGCCTTTTAAACATAAATTGCACACCTGTTTCTTAGAAAAATCACTTTTCCTTTAAATTTTATCTCTATTTGAGTCATACATTATTAGTTGCTGTTCGATTACAGTTAATTGTTTGATATAGTAATATTGTATGTATTTATTATATGTATATATTTCATTTACATATTATGTGTATGTTTATATTACTCTGAGTCCTCAGGAATGGCAACGCATGGGAGGTATCATGGGCGAAACAGTATACTCTGTTATGTCCATGGTACTGCTCATGTCTATAGGCGACGGTTACCACTTTCCATCAGGTGGGCCGTCAGCTTGTGTGCTATTTATGTCAGCAGTTGTTTAAATAATAAATATCTTTATAATATATGAATATATCAAGTATTGCTTTATTTGTCCTCTATTCAATAATGCACCGCCTACTTATTTCTCAGTTCGCCCAATGGTTGACTGGTAGAGAACACCGTCCGGTGTTAAGTCCGCCAAATGTACATAGAGTTTTATTATCCATTAAACTTTAAATAAATAATTAAATAAGTGTGTTAAAAATTACAAGATGGTAATTTACTAAACCCGAATAGACATTTGTCGGAATCTTTATTAAAGTATTTTAAAGTTCTGAGTCTGAGATTTACATGCAGTTTACCAGAGGGATACTTTGTACAAAAGTCGATTGCTTGGGTACCTCTGGCTCATTCGTGTTTCAACCGTAAAGCAGTTGTGTTTGCATAGCTGTGTTTCGGTTTGAAGGGTGGGATATGGCGTGAATTTACAGGGTACAGAGAAATAACACCTGAGTCCTCAGGAATGGTAACATATAGGGGTATCATGGACGAAACAGTATACTCTGTTATGTCCATGGTACTGCTCATGTTTATAGGCGTCGGTTACCACTTTCCATCAGGTGGGCCGTCAGCTTGTTTGCCATTCTAAGTTGTATAAAAAAAAAAAAGGTTTATCTGTGATTAAAAGTATGAGGTTATTAATAGAACAATTGAAAAAATTAAAAAAAAAAATCTAAAATTACGGTATTAATATTTATAAATCGCTAAAAAAATATTTTACAACTTTATTAAACTAGTTACAAAAATTATAAATACGGTAATATAATTATAGTAATACTAGCCATATGGTCCCGGCATAGAATGAGCCACACCTTCCTTTCCCGTGTCTTGTAAGAAGCGACTAAGGTAACTTAATAGTTGAGGGATAGACAGCAATATTCCTCTTTAAACATCGCCAAAGCGTAATTGCGGTTGCTAACACGCCTACTAAGCATGGCAACTACTGACAGAAAGAGATTTCTACAAAAATAAATGGTACACAAGCTATAAAAAACTGCATGTTTTTTTTTATGGTTGAAAATGGTATGGTAACCCCGCCTGCGCTAACGGGATACGCTGGCGGAGCACCAGTGAAGGGTGATAGATGAGAATGAAAACAGGCCAGTTAGCCCATCATGATGAATTCATCAGGAATTAACCGTGATAGTTTCCAGGGAGAGCCGCGAGGACGTCGACCTGGTTGGGTATATTGCTAGCAATGGGATACTCAGTCTCCATTACCAACAATCCCTTTCCCCCTCAAAAAAATTGCCTGTTAAAGCTTATAGTTTTAAAATATTAATTTATTTTTCTACCTCGTACGGGTACGAAGTCGCGGCGGATCTTTAGTATTCAATAAGATTAAAAAGTGAAAAATATCTTCTAGAACTAGACGTGAAACCCCTGATGCTGCTCAAACACCCGACGTGCCTGGAGACAGTCAAGCGCATGCGGGCGTACGTGGGGAATACGCCCTCGTGGGACCTCAGCGAGAGCGCCGCCCTCGTGTTCAGCAAGCAGGCGCACCGCATACGGAAACAGGCGGACACCCTGTATAAAAATATGAAGGTATGTCTATCTAACAACCGACTTCAAAAAAGGTGTTTTTTTTTTAAGTTTGATAAACTGATCAGTTATGAACCGATATGCTAAGTTATTATTTTTTATGAAAGAATATACTTACATATTGGTCCCATAGGAGTTTTATCAAAATCGGTTAAGCAGTTTAGTTTTTAAATAAAAATAACTTTTTCATTACTTCCCAATATCTTAATAAATACTTATGCCAATTCAATAATAAGTTTGATATATCTGTTACAGGAGCTATTCGTCACGCCCGAGGGTCTGTCTTTCTGGGAGTACTTCTCGGAGCGCGTCATACAGTTCAAGAAGGTGACGTCCAAGCTCAGCGCTGATGAATTGCTGGAGATGGTGCATGAGCCCTTAGGTATGAACGATTGATCAACCAACTTTAAATAAGTAGCATTTTCTAAATTCCATTGTATTTTTTTTTATTTTTGTTACTTCATAACTCAGTCGTTTATAAATTGGTTTGGGATTTTTTTTATACTATTATACACTTTTAAATTGATGTAGTAGAAATTTTATCAAAATCGGTTAAAATAAATAGCTTTGAAATCAATATAAATGTTGTCACAATTTAAGTTGAAGTTTGTTCACATTGGGGGTTGTCTTACACTGTGTTTGCCCTTCAACTTTCCATACCGGGGGGATAGGATTGTTTACTATACTCCCCATTACTATGGGGAGGTTAGTTACCATTGCTATCAATATACCCTATCAGGTTGACCTCCATGTGGTTCTCCCTGGAAACCAATGAACTATAATTAACTACTTGACTATACGAACTAGTGACTAATTTATAGTTGAATTCGTCCCGATGGGCTAACTGATGTGCCTCATCTTCATCTATCATCTTCCAGTGGTGCCCCGCCAGTGTATACCAATGGCGCAGGCGGGGTTACCAGTCCATTATCATTCATTAAAAAAACCTCTCATACTTGCCATCAATATTTGACTTCTAAATTCATACTAAATCATATTAATGCACTTTTAACAGAGATGTCCCTCCCAACGGCTCATACCATGAAGGCGGCGATAGACGCAGCAAACGAGGAAGACCAAAAGGACGGGGAAGAAGTTAATGATAAGAAAAAAGGCACACCAGGTAAGGTCATAGCTTCGATTCCCGACAGAACAAATATTGCTCTTTATTTTGTAACGTAAAATTTAATTGTTAAGGAATTAATTGTTAAATAAATAAAATAGAGTAAGAGTGGTCGACTTGACTAGACCCAAGATCTACTGTTGACTGACGAAACCCTGTGCCAACTACCAATCACATGCTTCTTAAAATCTCAAATGAATTGCATAGTTCAGTAAACAATTATGTAGTATTTTTTCTTTTATTTTATTAAAACGAAAAACATAAAAAAAAACTGAAAAATTGTTCTTAGTAACTACTTATTTATATTAGTGTGAGCATTGCGTCTGAGCATCTATCGCTAGATTAGCAAAATATTATATTTTTTTACTTGCCTTTTTTGGTTGGACTTATTGTGATTGATCGGTTGGCCATCCCTGACTTATATGATATATATATGTGTACAAAGTTTTATTATTCTAAAATTTTACATTAGTAGGATTAGCTATTCTCTCTTATATAGTTGTTATTCTTTCACAGTTAAACCAAAGAAAACGGCTAACAACGCCACACCGATAAAAACAGCAACCAAGCGGCAGTCATCCAGAAAATTACAACAAGAAGACAAAGATGTAAACACAAAGAAGGACACAAATACAAAAAAAGACACTGCAGATGAAGAGGAACCAGTTGAGAAAGCAGAGAATGCTAAAAATAATGACAAGGATGCTCAAAACACAGAAGAGAATAACAAAGACACGGAATCTATGGAAGTGGATAATGATAAAGAAACTACAGAAGTTGTCAACAGTATAAAAGAAAAAAGTGTAGATGACAAAGGCTCAAAAGAGAAGAACGCAAAGGAAAAGAATTCAGACGATAAAAGTACAAAAGAGAAAAAGAATTCAGAAGAAAAGGTTGTAAAAGAGAAGAAAGATAAAAATTCGGAAGATAAGAGTGCAAAAGATAAAAAAGAGAAGAATTCAGACGACAAGAGCACGAAAGAGAAAGTCGTTAAAGAGAAAACTCCAGATGAAAAAAGCACAAAAGAGAAAGAAAAGAGTCCCAGTCCAGCGGAAAAAGATAAAGAGAGTGAGGGTAAAGGTAAAGGTGACGAGGCGAAAGAAGATAAAGCAGAGTCAAAAGAGGAGAAAGATAAGGATCTAGGAGAGCCTAGAGCGAAGAGGTCGAGAGAGGTTAGTAATTCATTATGTACTGTTACATAGCCATGGATCAATTTTATATAGATAGAGTTTACAAATATTAAATTACAAGCAGTTGTGTTTGTATGGCTGTGTTTCGGTTTGAAGGGTGGGATATGGCGTTAATTTACAGGGTACAGAGGAATAACACCTGAGTCCTCTGGAATGGCAACGCATGGGGGTATCATGGGTGAAACAGTACACTCTGTTAAGTCCTTGGTACTGCTCATGTCTATAGGCGACGGTTACTACTTTCCATCAGGTGGGCCGTCAGCTTGTTTGCCATTCTAAGTTGTATAAAAAACAAAAACATATAATTATACCGTTATGATCTAACGGGAGTAAAATGTACGCAAATGTATAGAAACGCTTTAAATGCTCGTGCATGGACATTATTTCGATAAAAAATGAAATGTGTCTCATATATCTATAGAATACAATATATTCGATATAATATAAAATATTCAAATATATATGCATACATCAGGGCTGTCCAAATCAGTTAATCTTGGCCCAATGTAAACCATAAAATATATTGAAGGCATATAGAAAGTAACACTGCAGACAAACCGCAATGCAGTTTCGCGGCACTAAGAATATATATTGTCTATGTAACTGTTTACTTAAAATAAATAAAAAAAAAAAAAAAAAAACTTAATTTCTTTTAAGAAAAAAATTTTTACCTAATTAATCATTAGGAAATTTTCGTATTTGTATTAGATAAAGATCGTATCCCGTACGGACAAACGAAGTGTAGCACAATCTTCCACTAGATGGAGTGACTACCTTAAATGCATTGCAGGGAGTCAGTGGACGCAAGTGACTCAGGACCGTTTCTTATGGAAGTTTATGGAAGAGGCCTATGTTCAGCAGTGGACGAATAATGGCTGAGATGATGATGATGAAGATCGCATTGCCGGCCGCACAAATATAGACCACGGGCCGCATGTGATCTGCAGGCCGTGCTTTGGACAGCTCTGGCGTACATATTGCTCTCCTGTTATATCGTGACGGTAAAATTGAACGATATAATTCCGTAATACGATAAAGTATTATACAAGCTTGAAAGATTTCTTTCATTACTGTATTTATGCGAAGCAGTGTCTTATTGTTGATGTAAATATTTTTTTAGAGCAAGAAGACTGAACCCCCACCGCCGAGGTCGCCAGCAAAGAGAAAGGCAAAAGTTTAAAGTGTTGCCACCATTGAAAATTGGATATTTTTATACAGTGCGGTTGTAATTGTGTCACGAATGTCATTTGGACGAACGAATAGGTTTTGTTCTGTATAAATGAATGCTAATGATGTTTTAATAAATTATATTTAGTCCACTGCTGGACATTGCAAACAGATATAAGAAACAATTATCCTATATGTGGTATGGTAAAATTATAGCTACTTCTAACAGTAACAGGCGCTCGTCACTTCGAACAAAATAAGGATACATGTCTCGCTTTTTAACCCGATTAAAATCGCATTTTAAAAAGTGACTGCTCAGCCAGAAATAGATATATTTATACATATGTACGTATAAGCCAGTATCTTACAAGATGATGTGACAATTCTCGCAATACTTTTAACTTAATTTTAAACTTTCGCGTTGTTTACACGTTTAAATTTATTCGATATGGGATTTAATTTAAAAATAAAAATTAGGTATGTTGGTAATATTTACCTGAAATCGCGAATAATTCCTATCGTGTATTTAGATATGCTATACATACAAATCCTGGAAACATTATATTCCTTTCTTGTTAAAAAGTCATGTAGAAAAAGTTTATATTAGATACTATGCAACCAGTTTATTGAATTAAAAAAAATACTTAAGTTGCCGTGTTTTCTGTAATATTTGTCGATATTGATGTTTTGTATATTGTGAATAATTTTTTATTGAATATTAAAATATAATTAATTATTTCCACACGATTTAAACTAATAAAGTTAACTCACATTCGACAGCAGTGAAATTAATTAATTTGATTTTGTTGATACTTCCAGATGGTTGCATAGACTTCTTTTCGTGGAGTAGCAGTAAAATAAATGAAAAAAAAAATATCCAAAATATATCTACGTAATATTTAGCACGCCATTAAAACAATGTTAGTAAATATGTGATTCTATAATACTAATTGACATCTATTTCAACCATATTTATGCAAATTTATTTACCATATTTATTTATTATTATTATTGTAATAACATAACTTTAAAATGGCTGCGTCAACAAGATGGCGGACCACATTATAAAAAGTTTGATCTTATGCTACGCAATGCTCGTAATTGATTATTGAAATAAATAAAAAAATCTTTTTTTAGAAGTCAAATTATGCAGTCATATCCGCGGATTACATTTAGTAATACACACAATTTACTTTTTTATTAAAACATCATTAAGCAATGTTAACCTTCGATTTGACATACAAATGTATGTGAGGACTTTTTATGACGAAATTCAAAGTTGTAGTATAAATTTACTTGTTTTAGAACTATTAATATATATATATATATATATATATATATATATATATATATATATATATATATATATATATATATATATAATATATATATATATATATATATATATATATATATATATATATATATATATATATATTTGTTCATGTTGACTGGATTCAAGGTGATTGCATGGAAAAAACCATATGGCATAATTATTGTAAACTTAATTCTGATATATTTTAAAATACTGCCGGTAAATTATAGGGTAATCCATTAAATCATATAAGTACAGTAGTGAAGTAATCTATTTACATTACACTATGCACAATCTTCCCTCAATAAGAGTAGGATGCAGCCTACAATTAGCTAGGGATGGGTAATATCAGTACCGCTACGATATCTATATATTGGGTCTTGAATAGTGGGATATGGCGTGAATGTACAGGGTACAGAGGAATAACATCTGAGTCCTCAGGAATGGCAACGCATGGGGGGTATCATGGACGAAACAGTATACTCTGTTATGTCCATGGTACTGCTCATGTCTATAGGCGACGGTTACCACTTTCCATCAGGTGGGCCGTCAGCTTGTTTACCATTCTAAGTTGTATAAAAATAAAATGTATCCTGTTAGATCGACACTCACGTGGTCCCACCCACCAAAAGGTCATCACCCACTTCGATATCGCTAATCCGTTAACACCATACTTGGCACAATCTTTCCTTAATAAGAGAAGGATACAGTTTAGTCACCTAGGCATTGGTAATACCAGTACCGCTCTGATATCTATATATTGGGTACTGGATATTAATGGCGGGAAAATGATTATTACCTATTTCGATATCGTTAACCTATTTCTATCATTGTAGACACAATCTTCCCATAAAAGGAGGTTGCGGCCTACAATTACATATGGATGGGTAATATCAGTATCGTTTTGAAATCTATATATTGGGACAAGGATATTGATGACGGACAAAAGGTCATCACCCGTTTCGATATTATGAATCTATTAACAACACACTATGCACAATCTTCTCTTATTAAGAGAAGGATGCAGCCTACAATTTTCTGGGAATGGGTAATATCAGTACTGATACGATATCTATATATTGGGTGCTGGATATTGATAACGAATAAGAAGTCATCATCCATTTCGATATGGCTAACGTATTAACATGACACTAGGCGCAATCTTCCCTTAAGAGGAGGTGCTGGCTTACAATTACCTAGGGATGGTAATATTAGTACCATTCCAAAATCTATACTTTGGATCCCATTGGACATTGATGTCGGAAAAGGGCCGTCGTTTCGTTTCGATATTGCTCATACCGGTTGGGTATCTATATCAAATTCAGTTGATATTATATATTTATTACAGATATTTAATATATCCATTATTGAGCGAATATATTTTTAGTACTACAATATATAGTAATAATATCTATATATTGTTACTACAATCGTCATCATTATATCAGCCGTTAATTGTCCATTGAACAAAGGCCTCGGGAAAGGAAGGGGCTCATTCTATGCCGGGACCACGCGGCGATATTTCAATAAATATATAAAATATTAGTTTTTGGTTTTGGATTAGTAAAAAATAATTTTTTTTAAAGTGTATCTTGATGAAATATTTTTGATGGATATTCTGCTAAAAGAAATGTTCACATTCACTGGCGTATTACTTGTTTAAGGATTCGAAACATATTTCATTCAATTCATATACAGTTTCTGTCACACCCTGTATGATATAGCAAGAACTGGCTATTTTTTAAATCTAATATATTCTGCGTAATTTAGTGTAATAAACATACTTATAGGCAGTATTATAAAATTTGTCTGTATAAAGACACCCTGTATGAACGCAATTTTTTAGTTTGCATTACACTGGCGGGCAAAAAAATCGAGCCATGCACTTTGCAGATTAAAATTTTTAATCTATGTTTTTATATCATCGAGTAATGAGTATTTTTTGCTATATCGTTTTGAATAGGCGAAAAAAATGCTGGTTTTGAGATTAGTACAAAAATACTTAATAGGTATTTAGTAGATACAAAGGTACAGTCGTCTTTAAAATGAGATTATTGATAACTTGCAACCTGCCCTTGCTTTGCACGGTTTTTTTTAATAATAAAATACAGCCCATGTTACTCGTGGATAATGTAGCTTTCTGTATTTGAAAGAATTTTTAAAATCTGTAAATAATTTTTATGAGTGTATCCATTATAATAAAAAAACAATGAGGTGATAGGTAATTTTTTTAATTTTTTTTTCACCGCATATTAAAATTTCTGTTTTGCCAAAGGTTGACTGTGAGAGAATGCTATATAGTATTAAGTCCGCCTTTTGTACCAGACATTTTTTTTTGTAATGTGGTCAATAAAGCATAAATAAATAAATAAATACGTACTAAACTAGTGTTCCTTCCCGGTTTTACACAGGTATATTTCATGAAAATCTTTATTTATATATTTATACGTTATTGTACACATTAACAATACATAGAAATATGACAGAGGTAAGTAAATCTACAAAGGCGAGCTTAACTCTAAAAGAGTTCTCTTCCAGCAACACTCAAAGTGGAAAGGAGCATCAATGTCTATAGGCGACGGTTACCACTTTACATCAGGTGGGCCGTCAGCTTGTTTGCCATTCTAGTTTGTATAAAAAAAAAGTAGATCGGTGTACAACATTCTGTTAATTTTTAAACAAAAACTAAAATATATATCAAAGATTTTTCGCCTAAATTACACAGGGTACAGAGGTATAACACCTGAGTCTTCAGAAATGGCAACGCATGGGGTGTATCATGGGCGAAACAGTATACTCTGTTATGTCCATGGTACTGCTCATGTCTATAGGCGACGGTTACCATTTTCCATCAGGTGGGCCGTCAGCTTGTTTGCCATGATTAGTTGCATAAAAAACAAACATTCGTTTGCCCCATGGTTAACTGGCAGACGTCTTTATGTGTTATGTCCGCCATATGTACCTTTGTTATGTAATAATTAATTTTTTACCTTGTAAACTGCCCCCTGCCACGTTGGATTGTAACACGATGGAACGTCGAGTTTTATGTTCACCACAACGGGAATTGTTGATAAGTGCTTTTGACTACCCCATTATGGATTATGGTCGCCAGCATATTTATTTTTATTTAATAAGGATCTGTCATGATTTGTTCTTAAAAGTATTGTAAGCATACATTTTAATGTAATAACTGCTGGTTAGTGCTGCTACTCGTTCAGTGGGCTGAGGCGCGCAGTCAGGCTTGCTCTCGCATCACAGCCGCTCAAGACCAAGGGTCCGGAATGGTCCCGAAACTAGTCGAATTTTTGCAACCAAATTACATGCAAGTTAAACCGGTGGCTATTACATTAAAATATATGTATATATTTATATGTCATGGTTTATAATTAAATATTTAAAATTATAAGTGTGGCTCCATTTTTTGGCTCGCAATTTTACATTCATGTGCTCTTCCATCGAATTATTTCTTGTAACAATTGATAAACGTCGGTTAAATTGTACTAGTATTAAGAGGAATCGAGTACATACTTATTGTAATATTATTTTTATCATCCTAGCTTCTAGGTTTTAGATATATAGCTCATATTGTAAATATTTACAATAAATTTACCGATACAGAACTTTTCTTACAATGTTGTTTTGTTTTTGAACCTCTTTCAGTCGACTTCAAAAGAAAGGTGGTACTCAATTCGGTTGTATTTTTTTTTATGTTTGTTACCTCATAGCTCTGTTGTAAACCTGTATGTTGTAAGTACGAAATTTACAGATTGGTCCCATAGGAATTTTATCAATATCTGTTCAGTAATTTAATTTTTAAATCAAAACTGGTTCTGCCATAACTGAGGTTGATTTTTGTTTGTGAAATACAATTTAATTATATAGCGATGCGTAATAGTGCGTAAAATCTGGATTTTTAACATTTATTTTGTATTTATAAATGCATTAAGTGTGTAATTTATTAATGCAATAAGAAATATAAATATTTTATAAGGTACTAGCTTTTTGCCCGCTAATGCGTACACGTGGATTTCAGAAGTGAGAAAATCACTGAAAAAGATTACCGCTAGATGGCGTAAAGGTGAAACGTATAACAGATTTTAACTTAACCCTTCAAGAACACAACTGAAAACCGTATGAAACATGTAGCTTTTGCGTGATGCCAGAACAAACGGGCAAAAATTACAGGATATAATTTCTAAAAATTATTGTTTTGGAATCTATTGCTGTTATTAAGACAAGACTATTGGTTTTTTAATCACAATGAAAATGTAAACAATTTAATAATTCTTATTAATAAATAAGTATAACACCTCAGGAATGGCAACACATGAAGGGGAATCATGGGCGAAACAATACACTCTGTAATGTTCATTGCACTGCTCATGTCTATAGGTGACCGTTACCACTTTCCATCGGGTAGGCCGTCAGCTTGTTTGTCATTCTAAGTTGAATAAAAAAAATATATTTGTTATATCTTGGCGCCTCAATGGCTTAATCAATTACTATGAAATTTATTATACACATATTATATGGAATGGAGAAGTACATAAGCTACTTTTTATCCTAGTAACGCGAATGAAGTCGCAGGCAAAATTATAGTTCAAAAATTAGGTATCTCAGCGCGAAAATAGCGGCGGGTGCGAGTTACAATTTTCAAGTCTGGAAAATTATTTTTACAACAAAGCGATAAAAAGGTGACATTGGTTTATTTTCTCTAAAACGCAACATTAAAATATGCTCTGTTTCTAAAAACAGTAAATAAGTTATTGACACATAAATAATGTAGGCGCAATATTAGTCAAAATTGGCGTCTGCGTTTTCTATTATCTTCCGGGTACATTTCTAAAATTTTTCTAGCACATTCCTCTGCTTCTTCTTTAACTGAAAAAAGAACGAAAAAAAATAATATAGAACAAATTTTAAACCAAATTTCAAGTTATCGTTATTGTATCTATCGTTGTGCACTAGGCACAGGCTTCTCTATAGACTGCCATAAAAAAAAAAACTCACAAGCTACATCTTTCTGGTCCTCCATATTTTTTTTATTCAATACTTTCATGTCGAAGCCAATACCTTCAAACTGTACATTCATGCGAGTAGAGCGAAATGATTTGTTTTCCAATAAATGTAATGGAGTAAGTGCTGGCGCGAATATGCCTTGAAATAGGTTCAAATAATCATCACCTTCGGGTATAGCGTGATTCTCTCTGTAGTTGAAATTATTGTCATATTGTGATGTACCAGGCAAATAAAATCTAGAAAAATGACTAGAAGCATTGAGATTAGCTTTTTCTGGTTGTTTTACATTATTGACAGTTTTGGGTCTAAAGTTTATTATTAAACCCTCAATATTTGCTTCTTCCTCAGTAATGAATTCAAAATCTGACGAATGGTAACTACAATTATCAGATTTATCGTCTAAGTCATGTTTTATGTTTAGTGCATCAGCGTTTTGATTTTCTGTCTCTATATTAATATTTGCTACATCGTCTGCAGAAGATTTGGCAATATTACTATCAAAATTAGGTACACTGTTTGTATGTTTAATATTATTTTTAACAAACACGCTATCTGTGGAACTTATAGATATAACATCTAAATTGAAATCGTTATTAGTCATTCCAGAGATTACCAATTCATCATCAGAACTAATTGATACAACATCAATGCTTAAATTTTCTGTATTTATTTTGTATTTTTGTATTGTTTCTTTTTCAAATGTTTTATTTATATTGTTTTCTATTACGTTTATGTTTTGTGTGCATTTTTTATCTTGAGTGTCATAATTTTTAATTGCATCATTATTAGTCTCAGTATTTAAAGCATCTTGTGTACTATTTTCTATTTTTTCATTAACATCATAACCCGATTCAGTATCTTTGTTTATAATTCCAATAATATCATTAAAATCTTCAGTGTCATTGCCTGTAATCTGTATTTGTTCATTAGACTTTGGTAAAATGTTATTATTATTATTTTTGTTCATATTTGCAGTTTTTTCTAGGATTGCATCAAATTCGTCCAAGTCAAATATTAATGAGCCTGATGATTCATTACAGTCAGATTTTGCTGCATTGCTTGCACCAATAAATGAAGAATTCGCCCTTGTTTGGGTGTTACAATATTGTAAGAATATGTTCTGAAAACTATGGTTTCCATTACTTTTTTCGTGACCATTATTTGAAATATTACAAAAGGTCATTATTGAATCTGTAATGAAAGAAATTGGATGTTTACCATAAAATCCTCAGGATATAAATTAAGCAGACGAATCCTCATACTTTACTCACACGACAATCATTATCTCAGCCATCACCTCCCCCATAGACTGCCATAAAGGACGGCCATGAGCTGCCTGCATCAGTTATATTCATTGATCTATTTATTTTTTAGAGTTATTTTATAGGGTTTAAAAAGATGCATATGTACTGTCAAACAGGTCTGCGCAGTGTTAGGGTGGGCATCAGACAATTCTTGTGATAGCCTCCCACCCCCTCCATTAAATACGCTAATGCTTACCCCATTACGAATACCATCGACTATCCCATTAGGAATTACAGTCGTGAGCATATTAAGGTCGTTATTCTATTTTACCAAGTCAAATGTAACGTAAGCTTGAATTAATCCTACTATAAGCGCGCAAGGTTCGGAATAGTTTATCTCAGTTCCCAGCACGTGTTATGTCGAGTCGAGATTTGCTACTTATGGAAATGTTATTCTACTGTGAAAGGTCAGCGCTCACGACAATGTGGGTACTTTAGTTATGTGTAGGGGACGTTACGTAATCAACTTGTTCAACGGGGCTGTTTCTGAGGCGCAATTTCTTTAAATATATCCCTAAAATGGAAATTTCAAATTTACAGTGAAATTTTTATTATAAGGATAATTTTGAACTACATTTTTAATACATTTAAGACAGGGGGGAAAGGGATTGTTAGTAATGCGGACTTCCAGTCCCATTGCTAGCAATATATCCTATCAGATCGATCTCCACGTGACCGCCTCTAGAAAGTATCGTGTTGTATTCCAGGTGTATTCATCACGATGGGCTACCTGATTTGCTTTTTTATTCTCACCTATCATCCTTCACAGGTGCCTCGTTAGCGTATACCGTTAGTGCAGACATAATCATTAATTTACCAATAAGAATTCCATTAAAAATATAGTATAAACTACGATAAATATGCAGGTGTTCAAAAGCAACCTAAAATATTAAGTAACTAGATATGTATCTATTTTTTCTTGTATCTCCACTTGGTAAGGAATTATAAATGAAGATAATATTATAGAGAGGCAGATGGAAAGGTACATAGCATACTTACGACACTAATACCTGTTTCTAAAAAGTTATGAATGATTATAAACTAAGTACATTCTTTGTTTACACTTTATTGTTATTAACTAGACAGATACATATCATATTTTATTTTTATAAGAAACCTTACCTTGAGGCAATTTCCAGATATAAATACTATTTAATTTAAAAAAAAAATCAAATACTAACTTAAATTTACGCGGGAGAACGTTGCGAGATTGCTTTTTTATCACATCACTAAGGGCAGGCTAAGAGATAGCGCACATACAGCTTTGCTTAACTAGAGGTAAAGCCGCTGTAAAAAATTACGTTTTACCGTAATATTTTAAGTGTATTTAATCGTATTATTGTACAGTATTTATCACTAAAGGTCTATAAATACTACAACTCAGTAATTATATCAATATTTACGAAGATGAATGGAAAAAAGTTTCAGTTACACTAAATAAAAGAAAAAAAAAACAAAAGTTGTGTATTCACGAATTTATTTTAGTAAACAATGCATAATTTAATAGTACCTATGCATATAAAACGCTGAGAATACAAGCCTTTATTAAGGCAGTGGTAATATTTTGGCAGAATATCTGTTTACCCGTGACTGACATTTGTGTTTTTATTTCTGCAAGATTATGTTATACATACAGCCAAATAGAAATTAGATAACAAAGACCTTTTATTTCAAAAGATTCACATTCTTACATAGAAATTTACAGCTTATAAACAAAAATACCGCGATATTAGTTCTGTCACTTTTTGCCAGATTTTTTTATACCGCCTTGAGTGAGTGGACCCTTTTGTGAAGCCTTCGCTTTCGCTTCCTGCAAAAAATAAATATATAAAATCAAATAGATTTCCAAATGGCATAATGTGTATTTAAAATGTTGAATACTTTAAAAATATGACATGTATATTCATTGATAAAATATTTAAAATAAAGAATTTATTATTATTATAATATTATGTGTTCAAAGTGGCTTATTGCGAAAAGCAAAGGAAACTATTGATTTGTAAAGAAGCGGGAATTCAGAAACTGGTGTAGATTATATACAACTTCAATAAAACAATTATCTAGAAGAGGTGTGGGCTCAAATTTTGCTCGTTTCGAAACTTTTCAATCGATCAATTACTGGACTAATATTTTTTGGATATTAATCTATTAATATTAATTCCGATTTTGTCTTCGGATGGATATCAGAAGCTTATTAAAAATTGATTTAAACATTTTTACATAAATAAATAAATAATTTTGCATTTAATTTAGTATTTCTACACGTTTAAAGAGGTAATATTTGATTGTTTATTTGTAACAGATAAACTTAAAAAGTACTCAATCTATTTTAAAAATTATTTAACCCATAAAAAAGCTATATTATCAGCGATTAATACAGGCCATATTGTCTATTTACTCGTATGAATCACTAGTATTTTAATTATATTAAAAAAAAAACAAATAGGTATATTTTTTTCTAATAAATCTTATTTGGACTGGGTAGGCAAATGCGGCGAACCTGCAAAGCTTTTTGCTGTTCCTTTAATTTTTGTTTTAGCGCAATATCGTCGTCGTCGAGTTCTCTCACTTCCTTTTTTGGTGCCTTCAGTGGTTTTTTCTTGCCTCCTTCACGGCCAGACATCTGGAACAAAAAAAAAACATCAGACTTCTGCATATCCTTTGAATATATCTTTTTTTTTTTTTAAGAATGACAAAGGAAATAAATTGTTTTAACATAAAATTATACAGATTGTTAAGGAATACCCTTCATTTTATTTAATTAATTAGTTTTATTTATTTATGAATAAATAAATATTTTGAACATTTTAAGATTGTGTCCTACTTCACAAAAAAAAAAAACAACAATTGTGCCATAACTAGTTATTTTGATTTAAAAACTAAACTACAGAATCAATTAAAAAAAATCTCTTGATCCAATATATAAATACATCCTTTCAGATAAAAAGAATTTTTCAAATCGGTTTATAATTGACAGAGTATATATATATAATTTTTAATTATCAATAAATTACTTAACTGGGTTCTTAGATAAATAGATACTATCAAATTATAAAAAAAAAAAAATTAAAAAATTGACAAAAAGTAAACATTAAATTTACCTTATGACTATCAGGCATAGGCATTGTATTTAAAACGTAAATTTCTTTTTTTTTCTATTAAAAAATAAATATAAAATATACTAGTTGATATCTGGCTGCAAATATGTTAAAAAATAAACAGATGTCTAGTTCAAAGAAACAAAGTATTACTTGCACTGTTTAAGCTAAACTGAATAATTTGAAAATGGAAGTAATTCATTTAAAAACGTAACTGATTGACAAATTAGTGAGTTTGAAGGTAAATAAACACATCACATGCATGTACCAAGGTCATATTGCACAATATACTGTATTCTTACTAATACATTAGGAAATTGTCTTATGTTTGGATCAATTATCCATTTGTATACACTTTTTTTTATGCAACTCAAAATGGCAAACAATTTATACGGAACTTTTGTCCGTATATACAAAAAGGAAGATTTTAAAGTGTGATTAAATCGATTAATAGTAGATTCTCGATTAATATAATCTGTAATCTCTTTCTTTTTTTTTTTCATAGTGATACAACTTAAGGTAAACAAACAAACAAGCTGACGGCCCACCTGATGGAAAGTGAGCAACCGACATCGCCTATAGACATGAGCAGTACCATGGACATAATAGAGTATACTGTTTGCACCCATGATATCTCCCATGTGTAGCCATTCCTGAGGACTCAGGTGTTATTCCTCTGTACCTTGTAAATTCATTGCCATATCTCACCTTTCAAACTGAAACAGCTATGACTTGAACTGCATTATGGAATACTATTACTATTATCCTTCATACATTGCCTGAGGACTATGTTTTGTCTCTGTACCCTGTAATTTCACTGCCATATACATATTTGTCACAGCTGTTTTTCATTATGGTAAGCAAAAACAATGGAATGCCAAATGCTTTGATTCAACTGCCATATCTTGCCTTTTAAATTGTAACACAGTCATGCAAGCATAGCTGCTTCACAAAAGGAATACAAGTGGGTCACAGGTACCCACATAGATAAATTTTATAAAGTTTCCATCTGACATATAAGGTATAATTATATTATTCATCAGTGGAAATACATGAAAGGCTATTTGTTGTCTTGGAGGTACCTATAGGCGGCATTTACTACTTACTCTAAAGTACGGATGTTTATTGTTCTTTTGCCACTCCCAGTTGTATAATAAAAAAAAAAAAAATTGTAATGCAAGTCTTGATTTATTGCATGTTACAATAAATATATAATAGATTGCAACAAAATGATTTCGCACTCGGCTTTAAACGGTAAATAATACTTTATGTATACCGCTCTGAACAAGTGCTTGATGAACCATGCATTATTAGGTTATGTACAATTAATATACATAAATAATAGCCGTGTGACAATAAAGTAAATAGATGTGACTAAAATATTGTATATATTAATTTATACTCACGTTTAAATAAATCTAAATAAATAGTTAGGAATGAAATGTAGAATTTTAGTTTAGCACACAATAAAAGAAGTCGTCAATTATGATGACGGCAATCTGTGATGGGAATTGTCATAATTTGACATCAACAGTTTGATGTTGTTGTTTAAAAATTCCTCTAAAAATGGGCAGGCAAAGAACATGGCCCATACAGCCTAATCATAAGTCAACAACAATTTGGATAATAAGTAATATTGACATTATATTTATCAATAGTTGCCATTGCGAAATAAAAATATAACAGACTTCAAAATATTTCATAGTCTAGTTAAAAATAAAATTGTTTTTGTTCATTCACAAAATTTATGTAAGATAAAATACAATTAACTTTAAGGGAAAAAAATAAAGCAGAGACAATATTTAAAAGTAGTTTGCTTTATTTTCGGTATACAGTTTTATTGAAGTTACTGAGATTTTTCATGTATTCTTATTAGATTATTCCTTATTTATTTTAGGGTCTCTCACATCTCCTTTGACATTCTTCCAGCGTTACAAAGTTATTGTCATTTTGACCACAACCCCCGTAAATGAACCGTTCACATTTTTTAGTGGCAACTTGGTAGCCATATCTGAAATAACAAAAATATTTTACCAAATAAATAAATCTCTAATAATAATAAATAATAATATTAATAAATAAATAAATAATTAAGTATCTTATTTCAATAAAAATATCTTTTCCTACATTCATTTCATGCCTGTTACCTCATTTTGATTCTTTGACCTATAACTTCTTAGCTTCATTTATTTCTCATAATATGAAACTACATATATTTATCACAAAATACTAAAATATTTACCAACCACCATGCCATAATGGGTAATATTAAAAATAAAAATAAAAAAGTTTAAGGCTAGACACAGATTAAGAATAACAGCACTAGAAAAATATATTTTTATTTTTTACAGAACAACTAAAAAAAGCAGTGTTATAATGAAAGGATTGTTAGCAATGGAGACTGAGGATTCCATTGCTAGCACTATACCCGACCAGGTCAACCTTCACGTGGTCCCCTCTGGAAACTATTATGGTTAATTTCTGATAAATTCATCATGATGGCCTATGTTTCATTTTCACCCTTTACTGGTGATAGATGAAAATAAAACATAGACATACACAACGCTTCCGTTCCTTGTGGCGGTTTATAATTGGGGGGTTTTTACCAGTAGTTACCACGTTTTTTTTTTTGATGTGTGAAAATGGAATGGTAACCCCGCCTGCGCTAACGGGATACGCTGGCGGAGCACCAGTGAAGGGTGATAGATGAGAATGAAAACAGGCCAGTTAGCCCGTCATGATGAATTCATCACGAATTAACCATGATAGTTTCCAGAGAGAATCGCGAGGTGGTCGACCTCTGGTCGAGCAATGGGATTCTCAGTCTCCATTACTAACAATCCCTTTCCCCCCAGTAGTTACCACGTTTAGCAGGTGGATTGGCAATAGTAGCTTGGTTTTTGAGAGGGTGATGTTTTAAGAGGGACGTTGTTGCTCATTCCTCGATGATTAAGTTCTCTTAGTCGCCTCCTACAACACCTACAAGAAAGGAAGGGGTGGCCCTTTCTATGCCGGGAATACACGGCACATATAATGCCCTAGTATTATTGGGAGGTCTGTGGCTAGTACATGGGCCGGTGCTGGCAGGAAGCCGATCTTTGCTTCTTTGCCGTTAGATATGTTAAGGCGGAAAGCAATCTAAATAATAAAGTAAGTAAAATAACTCTAAATTGTATACATACATATTGAATGTGTTTTGCTTTAGATAAAGTATTTCAGTGTTGCTTACTAAAATGTGCCATCACCTTATGTTAGCAGGTGGAAGGGGGGAGAGGGGGAGGAATTATTAGTAAATCGAACCAGTCCCGTTGCTACTAATATAGCTTGTCAGGTCGATCCCCACGTGGTTTTCCCTGGAAACCATCATGTCGAATTCTATCATAATACTGACCTACCTTTTCATCCCCACTTATCATCCCTTACTGGTGCCCCGCGCGGGTATACTGGTTAGCGCAGGCTGGGTTACCATGCCATTGTCATCCATTATGTCAGTAATCAAGCTGTTTGTTTCTCACATAGATTGAGGATAATACTTCCTGTTTCTCATCTTAGTGACATAAACAAATACTAACCTCGGCATATAAGCAAGGCAACGTCCTGATTCCAACTTCTGTAAACATATATCTTCTGAAGCTGTAAATAAAACTTTATTTAAACTGTGGATTTTATATAATATTACCAGAGGGAGACTGTAAAAAAGTGGATTGCTTGGGTACCTCTGTCCCATTCGTGTTTCAACCGTGAAGTCGTTGTGTCTGGATGGCTGTGTTTCGGTTTGAAGGGTGAGATATGGCGTGAATTTACTGGATACAGAGGAATAACACCTGAGTCCTCAGGAATGGTAACGCATGAGAGGTATCGTGGACGAAACAGTATACTCTGTTACGTCCATGGTACTGCTCATGTCTATAGGCGACGGTTACCACTTTCCATCAGGTGGGCCGTCAGCTTGTTTGCCATTTTAAGTTGTATAAAAAAAAAGTTTTTAAATTCATAAATCGAATGGCTGTAATTCGACACGAAGGATCATATAATATAAAATTAATTTTGTTTTTTACACAGTTAATAAATGGTAAAAAAAAAATAAAAAAAAATAACTATTCCAAAGTTCTTTAGAAAAGAGTGGTCAAATATTCTATGATAAAATAGTAAAAATAAATTTAAATTTATCTAGTTAAAATACCATAGTAAAAAAAAAGTCCCAGATGTGTATAAACAAAAAAAAAAAACACCTTACCAGAGACTAAGAGAACAGACACGATTAGCGGTAAAAAGAGATACAGTTTTCCCATTTTGCTTACACACGACGGTTCTTTACAAAATCACTGCATCAAATGGCAACGAATTATCAACAATATGCAACTAACATTGAGGAAAATGTAATTAAAATATTACATAATAGGTATAATGAATGTTTATCAAGACGTGTGAGTAATTAATGTGCCATTGTTCTCAAAAGCACGTTGGACTATAAAAAAAATTATGTAGGTACATATTATTTTAATGTAAATATATAAAAATTTAAAGTCACGATGTATGCACACTAATATTTTAAACTATTCAACCGATCTTAATGATATATTAAAAATTATAAAAAAGAGTAAAAATAATAAAAAAAAAATGATGTAAAATCGATCGTATCGGTAAAATCGATCCGTGGGTGTCGTAAGGGACAACCTTAAATTATATAGATAGATCGAGTCTCAAAAAACGGGTCAGCTCGTTTTTTGAGACTTGATCTATCTATCTATCTATCTATCTATATCTTTTTTTTCTTTTTTTTTTTTTTTTTTTAATTTTCTGTGGATCATAGGTTAAATTAAGGTATTACATGAGTTAAATAGTATCTCCATGTCCTGCTATATAAGCGTACAATATATGGAACAGTTAACAGTATACAAAACATAACATTTAAAATTATACAGTGAAACAAAATACATTTATATGAGACATTATTTTTTACAAATGATGACTATTTATCTTTATCATTGATATATTCGTCCATATAATAACATTTATTTATTAATATATCATGAAGGTTTTAAAAAATTTACCTCAGTCAATCCTCGTATATGTTTTGGTAAGTTATTATAAATTATTACAGCTTTACAAAATATGCTGTCCTTCATCAATTTTGTTTTAGATGGTACTACACATAATTGGTCAATATGCCGAGCTCTAGTGCGAAATTTAAATTTATCAATATTTGTTTTTACAAAATTAGCACACTCATATATATACAAACAAGGCACTGTCAATAATTTTAATTGTTTAAAATGTGGCACGCATGTGTCCAAATTACAAATGGCCCGTATGCAACGTTTTAAAAATAAAAATAAATTAAAGTTTCCCCAAAACAGTATGCCATACAATAAGAATAATGTGCATGATATGACGATAAAATATTTCCATATTAACAATTTTACGTAGTTTATACAAAGCATATGCATATTGAAATTTTTTACATGTATGCTCAATATGAGTTTTCCAATTAATTTTATTGTCAATGTATAGTCCCAAAACTTTGTTGTAGTCGTTTCGTCAATAGTTTTTCCATTGTAACTAATGTCAAATTTAATTTCATTATCATGTAGTCGCTGTTTAAAATACATTAATTTGGTTTTTTCGATATTTATTTTCAATTTATTAGAATCAAGCCATTTATTTATTAATGTCATTTAATCTTAATCTTTAAATTAGCAATGTCATTGTCTGAAATTAAAATAGTGCTATCATCTGCAAATAAAACATATCCCGTCTAGTAGTTAAGGGCATGTCATTTATATATATAATGAATAAAAGTGGTTTAAAACGCTTACCTTGTGGTACACCTTTAATTACCGTTCTAGAATTTGATATATATGTTTCTTCTGTTTTTGTACTAATATGTATTTTATTTATGTAAGTCATTTGTGAGTACCTGATAAATATGACTAGATTAGAATTAAAGCAATTCCTCTTATTCCATAATTATATAGTTTTGAAAGTAATATATTATGGTCAACATTATCAAAAGCCTTAGTCATATCTAAATATATTGCAACACTTGATAATCTACGATCCATACCCGATATTACTTCATTAAGAAATTCATAAAGAGCTATATTAATGGATTTATTCTTTCTGAAAGCATGTTGTTCAGGAGCAAATAATTTATTTTGTTCAAAGAATTTATATAATATATTATAAATTATTTTTTCTAATATTTTTGAAAATATAGGTACGAGAGCTATTGGTCTATAGTTATGCATAATCGTTCTATCATCCTTCTTAAATAATGAATTATAGTAATTTTCAACTTGTCAGGAAATATGCCAAACTCTAAACACAAATTAAAAATATGGCACAGTACCGGAGATATGATGTGAGACACATCTTTAATTACACTAGTAACTATGTCATCATATCCAGCACTGTTATATTTTTTAATGCTTTTATAATATAATCTATATCCTGTGGAATTATTGGAGTCATAAATAACGAATTAGGATTATTGTATTTTATGTTAAAGGGGGTATCACATTTTATATTTGTAGATTTTGTGTCGCCGATAAAAAAGTTATTCAATACATTTGCCACATCTATAGGATTAGTAACATCTTACCATTAATATTCAAATTTGTTATATACTCTTTTGGATAGTTTGTTTTAGTTTTATTTATGAAATTCCACATGGCTTTAGACTTATTGACAGAGGATTGTATATAATAATTATTCTGAGATTTTTGAGTCAAATCTATAATACGTTTCAATCTTTTAGCATAAGTAAAAGGCCTGTTTATTATTGTTTGTAGGACGTTTCCTGTAAGCCCATAGAAGTTGTTTTACGTTTACTACAGGTTTTAATACCTCGTGTTATCCATTTAGGTCTATGCATACGTTACATTTAATTTTTATGATCGGGAAACATAGATCATATATCAATTTAAAAGTTTCATAAAAGATATTAAATGCCTGATTAGGTTCCTGAGATTTAAAAACATCAGCAAATTTAAGTTGACCAATTGAATCAATAAACTTTTGTCTATTTTCTATAGAGTAATCTCGACGTTTTATATACCAAAATTTAATACTACAAGTTTTTTTGATAGGACATGTAAGTATTTGGGCGGTTGATCTCCAAGTCGTGAACTAGTCCTGTTGCATTTCCAATATTATGTATCATGTTATCTATGCAGGTTCCACTATAATTCTAGTTGGTTGCTCAAATTCAAATTTAAGATTATACCGTAAGAATAAATTATAAAATTCTCTCGATATTTCGTTTGCTTTAGAATGTCTATATTAAAATCTCCACATATTACAATTTTTTTATTTTTTTCAGGTAACACGCTGAGTAATTGATTTAGTTTACAAAAAAAATCTTCTAATATTTCATTGTTATTATTGGGACTTCTATATATACATTCTATAATTAAATTTTGGTCAAAAAGATCAATAGCAGAACATTCTATTAAATTAGGAATTGATAAATTAGTAATATTATCAATATTTTTATATATAAAATTATTTTTTACTAATATGCACGAACCCCCATGTCTATTTTTTCTAAAGAAACTAGATGCCATTTTATAGTTGGGTATGTGTAATTGAGTTTCATCACCTTTAATCATATTATGTTCATGGTACACAATACGTCAATCTGTTTATTATGCTTGTTCATTTCATCTACACATATTGACAATAAATCCGATTTATTTGCAAGTCCATTTATATTTTGATGAAGTTATTATATAGTTATGATGAAAAAAAAAGTTATTAAAAAAATATTTATATTATCGTTTGAATGTGCTGTAATTCAATATTTTCAGTTACATCATTATTACTATTAAAAATAATGTCCTTTTTTTTTTTTAAACAGTTAATCAATGTGTAAAAAAAAATTTTTTTTAAACTATTACTTTGTTTAACTTTACTATATTGTTTTATTTTATGTAAATAATCTATTCTTAACAGATCTCTATGACATATATAATACTGAAAAAGATGAATTTAAGTTTATTCCAATTATAATTGATGTCTAAAAGTCCCACATGATTATGTTTAAAAATAAATTTTATTTCATAGACTTAGAGAACATTCAGGTTTCGGTTAAATGGAATTTTGTTTTCCTATTATATTAGTGTTAGAGAGATCCGACAACCATCTTTACATGCAAATTATATTGTAGTCATATGGATCATTATCATTAATCAACAATAACAATACAATAAAATCATTCTTGTTTAAAGATTTCAATTCATTGTTACATTTAAAATATTCATTATACTTTGCACCAGGTTTCCATGTACATGAAACTGTTTATCAACTCCAACAAGTTTTTGTAGATTTTTTTGCATATTAATTGTTGGTCTGCCAAAATTGATTTTCTTTTTAAGTATTCTTTTCTATTGCTCGGACTTCTGAAAAAAAATTATTGGTATTGTTTTAGATGATTGTTCACATGTATTTATAGTTTTTCTACCTTCAGGATTCAAGAAGGCTGTTGCTATGAAAATGCATATAAAAATTTATTACATGTGTATACTGGTGTGACTGTATCTGTATTATTTGAATTTCTCTTTTTTTTTCATCGACGTCGGTGTATTACTTAATGATATATTTAAAAAGTTTTATAAACATTAATAACCTTAATTACATCTCTCTAGTTCATGTCTTAAAGTTGTATTTTCAAAATTCAAATTTTCTATCTCTTGATTTGCCGTTTGTACTTCCATCTGAAATTATTATAATAGTTCTTTTGTGCTATGACTGTCATCCAAAAAATTAGGTTAACATCGTTTCTAATAGTGTTGAGTTACTATGTATTGTCAAATCGTTCAAATTGTTCTTTGTGGTCTTCTAAATGTTATATGCCCTTCAAACTCTGTATCCATTTTTTATAATTTTATGAGAGAAAAGAAAATGAGAATCTGGATATATATTATGATTCCGTATGTTTTATCTTTATATTAAATTGTTTTTCCATACAATATATAAAAAAATAATAAAAATTGAAAATGGTGATAAAATAATTAAAATAAATTTAATTTATCAGAAAATAGTAAAAAAGAAACAGAAAAAAAAAATCACGATGTTTCGGGATTCGATCCACGTTATGCTAAGTTGTCACTTAAAAAGTGGAAAATTAGAATGGGGCTTTTTTTTTTTTTTTTTTTTTTTTTTTTTTTTTTTCCATTGCTAACAATCCCTTTCCCCCCAAATATTCCTTATTACGTCGACTTCCCCGTGGTCCCTCCAAACCATAGTGCTGAATTCCGGGTGTATTCATCACGATAGGCTAACTGACCTGTCTTTTTATTCTTAACTATCATCCCTCACTGGTACTTCGTCAGCGAATACCGTTAGCGAACGCGGGTTACCATTCCATTATCATTAATTTAAAAAAAAGCAGCGTCCCTCTTCTGTTTGAGAATAACAGCGCCTGCATTTCCTTTTAAAGACGTAGGTTTATAACTGTTGGTATTATGCAGTTTTTTATGCATTTATATTATTACTAAGCATAAGGATATGTGAACGATTTTCCTGTATTACTTACTCAAAACTACAAATATCTGTGTATAGTTGTGAAATGTTAATTTACCTATTTCAATTTAAATTAGTCTTAGGAGAGATTTTGCATCACTCTGCTTGTTCTACCGCTTGTACCACGGATTGTGCTCAGAGGAAAAGTTTAATGTGATGCCCACAACCACTTTCTATCATCGTACGGCTCGCCATCGACAGGGAGTTCACTTTCATACCTTACAGCCTAAATGGTCGCGTACGACGCGGTTTCAGAGATATTTTCTCTTTTTAAATCTTGGCTCCCTGCCAAGATTTTACCAAGATACTACAGCACGGAGTTCTTCAAAAGGGGACTAAAGAGGTTTCTTCAGGGTCGGCAACGTGCGCGTAATACCCTTGGTATTGCAGGCGTTCATAGGCTACGATAACTGCCTACTATCAGGTAGGTCGTATGCTTGTTTGCTACCTCTGTGGTATAAAAAAATATTGTTAAATTGCAGCAACTTACTAATATAATAAAATTGTAACAAGACGACGTCTGTACATGGGAGTTATTTAAGAAAATTTGACATGAAGGGTCTTAATAAGGTCAATAGAAACAAAAATAATATTTTTTAAAAACTTTATTTATCAACTAAACTGTATGTTTGTTTTAGTATTACGCAAAAACTACGGCACCAATTTGGATGCAGTTTTTACAGTTGCGTGCCTGAACGTTTAATTTAATATTAGTTATAAGTTTTATTTTAATACACCATTTAGAAATTATTTCATTGGTTTTTCTATTTTCGAAATCCACTCATACCAACGAAGTGGTAAAAATAATTAAAAAAATTTGAATTTATTATTATAAATTTTTCAAGGTTACAAACTCTAAAAAAAAGAGAAATCTTAATGTTTACATCTACATATGAAAGAACAAGGATAAAATATATATGACGGATAAGGAAAGACCAAGGATAAACAGTCGTATAGAAGTATCAATGACATATCAGAAGTGGCCAACAAGTCCATATTTTCAACTGCTCATTTAGATGTTTCATATAAAATTTATTAATTTATAATTTAGTAAGATTTTCGAAAAATTAATTCTTCTACAAATGTTAGACCATTTCAATTTACGTGACTTACTCCACAAGCAACAATATGGATTTACAAAAGGACGATGCACTGTTGATGCCGGCATTAATTTAATGCAATGCATTTTCAGTGCATGGGAGAATTCACAAGATGTAATTGGTGTATTTTGTGATCTTTCTAAGGCATTCGATTGCGTCGATCATAAAACTCTATTAATGAAGCTTGAACATTATGGAGTTAGAAATAAGTCTTTAGATCTCTTAAAATCTTACTTAAATTCAAGAATTCAAATAGTAGAAGTAAACGGTGTCAATTCTAGTGGATCTTATATTGAAATGGGTGTGCCTCAGGGATCTATTTTGGGTCCTTTTCTTTTTCTTGTATACATGAATGACTTACCGTATCATGTTCAAGATTTGTCTGATATTGTATTATTTGCTGATGATACTTCACTAATGTTTAAAGTGAATAGAAATACACATAACCTTGACCATGTAAATGTTGCTTTGTCGAAGGTTTTGATATGGTTTACGTCAAATAATCTAGTACTTAATTAAAAAAAAAACTAAATGTATCAGATTTTCCATATCCAATACTAAGCAAGTGAATACCGCTGTTAGATTAGACCACCAGGATTTAGACTTTGTAGATAAAACCACTTTTCTTGGCATAGTAGTTGATTATAAGTTGCAATGGGGCTCCCATATATTTGAATTGGCCAGCAGGCTGAGTTCAGCTGCTTATGCTGTTAGAAAAATCCGACAATTAACTGATACAATAACAGCTAAGCTTGTATATTTTAGTTACTTTCACAGTATCATGTCATATGGCATTATATTATGGGGGAGGGCTGCTGACATCGATACAATCTTTGTACTGCAAAAAAGAGCAGTTCGGTCAATATTTAATTTGCTTTCTCGGGAATCTCTTAGAGAATATTTTAAGCAAACAGGTATACTTACTGTTCCCTCGCAATATATATACGAAAACATTATGTATGTACGTAAAAATATAAATCTTTTTAAAAATAACAGTTACATACATAATTTCAATACAAGAAATAAAAACAAATTGAATGTTCCTTGTTATCGCCTTAGAAAAGTCAGTACATCTTTCATGGGGAACTGTATACGTTTTTATAATAAACTTCCAGATGACGTTTTACATTTAAATGAAAGAAAATTTAAGACATATATAAAAAGGATTCTCTGTACAAAAGCATATCATAAATTAAATGACTATTTAAATGACAAAAGTGCATGGATTTGAATTTTGTATTAATGTGAATTGTATTGTAAATGTAATTATTGTATTTTTTCTTAAATCAATATTATTTTCTATAGTAATTATTATAATTATAGACTGACGTATCATAAGTATCTGTAACAGATGTATATGAATAAAGATGATTGATTGATTGATTGATTGATTTATATCTAATATATAAAATTCTCGTGTCCCGATGTTTGTTACCAAACTCTTCCGAAACGAATTTACCGATTTTTATGAAATTTTGTGTGCATATCGGGTAGGTCTGAGAATTGGCCAACATCTATTTTTCATACCCCACAATGATAAGGGTGACCCTCCTCTAAATATTTTTTTTTTTGACAAAATTTATTATTTTTATTTTGTTATGATTTAGCATTGAAAAATATATACAAATTAAAATTTTCACGCTTTTACGATCAACCTCTGTTTTTTAATCGCGATTTTTATATGCCACATATAGGTATAGGGTTGCAAGATGGCAATCGAATATAATAATTGTAGTAAGAGAAATTATCATGCATAGCTCTCGAAATAATGTATATGGTAAAACAACGTTTGCCGAGTCAGCTAGTGTATATATATATAGCGTTCATAGGCTGCGGTAACAGCTTACTATCAGGTGGGCCGTATGCTTGTTTGCCTCCTCAGTGGTATAAAAAAAAAACTTTCCATATTAGAAGCGAAACACGTGTGACAAAACGTGTGGACGAAATGGCAGTCGGAGATTAATGGCTGATATGGAAGGTTGTAGAACTTTTGGTAATGATAGCAGTCTTTCAGTCAATCTTCGAGTGTTGGCAGTCACACACATAATAATGTTAGCGGAAATAAACAAAATAATTCTAAACAAATAACCAGTTTTAGATTTAAGTTGGCAATCCCTGGATAGAGGCTTCGATGACACTACAAAGTTATGTTGTGACTTCGTACAGGTAAAGACACCATATAAATATGGTGGCAGGGGATTTCCTCAACAGTTTTTACTCGGTTATTCGCGTGTCAACATGAAAGTGTTAGTGGCAGTGTTTGTTCTGGTCGCTGTACTCAGTTTGAGTTATGGGCAACCAGGTATAGTATTGCTGCTCGTGTGACGGTGGCGTCCTCAAGTGTTAATAGTTTTTAGACAGGGAAGACTCACTTTTAGTGAGGCACAGTTCTAATGATCTGAGGATATCCGCCCTGGAGTTAAAGCTGGGACAAAGAAGTTCGCCCAGAAGCCTCACCTAACTCACCCAGGAAGGGGGAATGGATTGTTGGTAATGGGAGGGTTAGTTCCCATTGCTATCAATATACCCAATTAGGTCGACCTCCACGCGGTTCCCCCTGGAAACTATTGTGATCAATTTATCATTGAATTCGTCACAATGGGCTAACTGACCTGTCTTTGCATCTTCACCTATCACCGCTCACTGGTACCTCGCCAGTGTATACCGATAGCGCAGACGGGGTTACCAAGCCATTTTTACCCATCAAAAAATCTCACCCAGGAGGGTTTAGAAGACCATGGAGGGATTGTTGAAAAAGTGTTTTTAGACCGCCTCTATTATACGCACGTAAAGCATTCTGAACAAAACAAAAACAAGGGAGAGGGGGGGGGGGAGGGTGTAGAGAGAAGGGAATACACTCTTTGATTCCTGAGATCCGTGGGAGTCGGACTAATGTTCAGAGGACAGCATGTAGCGGTACAAAGCCACTTAGTTTGATTTGCGGGGCGCTATCTGCACAAGCGAACATTCTGCTCGCCATGATGCGAACTCCTCAGCTGAAGGGACCTTGAGATTACAGTCGATGACGTCGCTTCAGACGTATCATCCCGCTCCAGTGCATAGGCGAAAGGTGAAGTTCTGCTAGGCTTGGATTCAGCGCCTCAGCGTTTGAGACGTAGGTCTTGTAAATGGAGACCTTCGTTCTTTATAAGATTTTTGCAAGAAAAAGTGACCAATAACCATTTCCAAAGTCATATCTATCGCTATAACAAAATTCATCATAATCTATTCAGCGATTTAGGGGTGAAAGCGAAGTGAGGCGAAACAAACAAACTCACTTTCGCGTAATATTAGTTAGGATAAGCCAATGGACCAATTTTTAACCGACTTTAAAAATGGAGGAGGTTGTATATTTTTTTTTTTTAGTGTTTATTTTTTTTTTGTTTCAGATCGATGCAAAGCTCCGATAGACGATCGTGTTTGTTTTGGATTTCGCGGATAGTAAGTATCAAATTGTAAAATTGTATGGCATTATAGGTTTTTTTTTTATATAATTTAGAATGGCAAACAAGCTGACGGCCCACCTGATGGAAAGTGGTAACCGTCGCCTATAGACATGAGCAGTACCATGGCCATAACAGAGTATACTGTTTCGCCCATGATACCCCCCATACGTTGTCATTCCTCAGGACTCAGGTGTTATTCCTCTGTACCCTGTAAATTCACGCCATATCCCACCTTTCAAATCGAAACACAGCCATGCAAACACAACTGCTTTACGATTGAAACACGAATGGGACAGAGGTATCCAAGCAAACGACTTTTGTACAAAGTCTCCCTCTGGTAGCTGTATAAAACAAACAAAAACAAATAATTTTGCTACAATTGAAGTTAGTTTTTTTTTTGCATAACAATCTTAAATTATTGTATAAAAGTACTGTTATATGATTTTTTTACATTTATTTTTATTTATACTGTCGACGTGACGACCGTTTATCCTTATTATTCTCCAATGCATTAACTCGTTTACTCTTTCCTTTTGCAGCTATGCCTACGATCTTCCCAATAACAAATGTATAGAATTACGCTTCGGCGGTTGTTACGAAGGACCGAACGACTTCAAATCTAAGGCAGAATGTGAAAGTACCTGTGTCAAAAAATAAGACAATAAAAAAATAACATCTTTTTTTGTCTATAGATTTAATTTATTTTTTGAAGTAAGAACTAAAATTTGTGTAACATAATATTCCAGACAAATTATCACATTGAAGACTAGGCAGCATGGTCTCCGACCTTAGCCTGTTCCACAACGGAACAAAAGTACTAGAAAAAAAAAATTGTGTAATTTTTATCTGTTGATATTCGAATCAAACTGTGCGAAGCGTTAGTGTTGTCTAAGTTTAATTACGCTGATAATGTGTTTGGGGAGTGCCTTTTAGCTCGAACTAAGAAAATGATACAACGTATCCAAAACGCATGTGCTCGATTTTGCTTTCCTATTGCTCGTCGTGCTCATATCACTCCCTTTTTGGAACAGAATAACTTGTTAAATATGACAGCACGTCGAAATTTACATTTTGCTTCATTGCTTTTTGGCGTAATACACAGTAAAAAGCCCTCATATCTGTATGATAAATTAAATTTTTCAAAGCGTAACATAAGAATAAATTCTCTTTTACTTTGTCCACGATACAGAACAGCTGTTTTTCGTGGTAGCTTTACGCTGCTACGAAATGCTGGAACAATCTTCCACCGCCAGTTAGGAACGCCAAATCATTATTCACCTTTAAAAAACTATACAAGAATTATCTATGTACTATTTAACCTATAAATCTTACGGCAAAGTAGTTGTATATATATGTTTAATGTTTATATTTATTAATGTTATTTTATTCTATTTTGTTCTTTCTAGTATATGTAATTGGTTTGTATTTATTAGTTGTAATTTTGTTTTAATTATTATCATGAATATTATAAATAGTGCCCTCTCTCTCCCCCCCTTTTATATATATATTTTTGGTGCCACTGAAAACCAGCTGTATGTTCACCTAGGACATACATTAAAGCTGAGTGGAGCCATTTCAGTGCATTTTTGGATGTAAAAATGATTATTTTATGTTAATTTTTAATTATGGTAAATTAAGTTTAATTATATGTACATTTTATTTGCTCATTTTTTTTTTCTCGTTTGTTGTTTATATTGTATTTTTTACATTGCACTGAATAAAATATTTTTCTTTCTTTCTTTCTTTAACTTTATTATATTGTAACTATTTAAATGCCTTAAATTGCCTATTCGTAATAAATAATACAATGAACTGTATTTTAATGAATAAATGAATTATTATTGCTTACATTTATCGTTATTTTTTTTTTATAATTGATATTCTTTTATTTATTTACTTACTGTCCCACTGAAAATGTGTAGAGATGTTGCATCTCTATGCATCTTCTACCGAATTTATCATGGGGCGTGCTCTGAGGAATTGTTCGGATTGATACCTACGGACTTTCACCACCATACAACCCGCCATAAACTAAAGTTAATTTTTTTTTTATATAGATCTTAGAATGGCAAACAAGCTGACGGTCCACCTGATGGAAAGTGGTAACCGTCGTCTATAGACATGAGCAGTACCATGGACATAACAGAGTATACTGTTTCGCCCATGATACCCCCATGCGTTGCCATTCCTAAAGACTCAGATGTTATTCCTCTGTACCCAGTAAATTCACGCCATATCCCACCCTTCAAACCGAAACACAGCCATGCAAACACAACTGCTTCACGGTTGAAACACGAATGGGACAGAGGTACCCAAGCAATCGACTTTTGTACAAAGTCTGGTAAATCATCAAATGGTAAATCCTAATCATCTGGATGATGGGCAGTCCTGAAGGCGTTTTTTGAGGCAGTTTCTTCCTCGCAACCACTCTTTGGAATCAACTTCCTGCAGTAGTATTTCCGAACCATTGTCACGAGTGTGAATATTTATTGTTTTGGTTTAAATATCAAAACATACGATTCCTGCTTCACAGATTTATCTGAAAGGATGTGATAGATAAAAGATTATATGATTACACAAAAAATAGGTAAAGGAAATAGATTTCAGAAGTAAGAGGTTACTTGAGATAAGATAAAAACAATCTTGATACAAATATAATAGTTTTTTTTTTCTGGTATTTTTATATCGTCACTTATTTTTTTTATTTTACCGGATTTAGAATCTTCTTTTTTTTTGGTCAAGAAAAATTGGACATAGAAGTAACTAAACTGTTTGATTACTAACCATTTAAGAAGGCTCATGGCCGTGGGTGTTTAGAAAAACAAAATTATATTTGTCTCTGATGTACATACAAATAGAAAATTTTGGATATTCCGTAATTCAGGTTTTTACAGTAACTGATATAATATTTAGTCATTGTTCGAAATTAACCTTTTTATATATTGACAATTGTAGATTTTTATAAAAAAAATATTTAAAAACAATTGAAATAGAACAAAATCTAATATATAAAATTCTCGTGTCACGGTGTTTGTTACCAAACTCCTCCGTAACGGATTTACCGATTTTCATGAAATTTTGTGTGCATTTTGGTTATGCCTGAGAATTGGCCAACATCTATTTTTAATACCCCTCAATGATAAGGGTGACCCACCCCAAAAAAATTTTTTTTTATTTTTTTGACAATTTTTTTTATTTTTACTTTAATATTATTTAGCATTGAAAAATACATACAACTTTAAATTTTCATCGTTTCACGATCAACCCCTGTATTTTAATCGTGATTTTTATATTTCGCAATAAGTGGTAAAACAACGTTTACGGGGTCAGCTAGTATACATATAATACATCAAGTCAACAGACGGCATTTTTACTTACAAAAAATATAATATAATTAAACATAACATAATATATACATAACAAGAACCAGCATATTTTACAAACAGTCATGTTTACCGCCTGGTATTCAGTAAAGATGACTTTTTATAAAATTAAATGTAAATGTGTAATTCATTTGTATTGTATGACACTTGTTATATTATTGACTTGTTATGTATTTGTTTTTGTTTAGTTTGTATTTGTATTTGTTTAGTTATGCTACCGTTAGTATGTGTGCGACTGCCAATATTTATGGATTGACTCCTACTAGGCTATTAATATACGTAAGCCACTAAATTATAATACTAAATTTGCATGCCTTTAGATAAGGCGAAATGTGTAGATCTATTATATTTAAGACCATTATTATAACCACATTTTTAACAAATAAATAAAAATAAAAAAAAAAAAATAACAAAGTAAATTAAGTTAGGATTGATTTGGTAAAAACCTCAAAAGTTATCGAATCATCTTTATTTAAATAGACTTGTTTACAAACACTTTCAAATTGTAATTTTTTTCTGAATGCAGGATTTGGAAAGCTGTGATTCTGTTGAGAAGAGTCCGCAAGAAACTCAATTGTTACTCTTTTAAATCTTTGTTAACATTATTACTTATATATTTATTTATTTATTCATTAGTACATATATGTGTACATGGCGGACTTAATGCTAAAAGCATTCTCTCTCAGTCAACCATAGGGAAGTTACATATTGTATTTATTTAAATGTATAATTTAACATTACATGGTTCTTCTTCTTATCCTACCACATACTTATGGGAAATGAGTAAGTAAAATATTTAATTCAATGTTCAAACGTCTATATATTTTAAAAGAATGACAATTTGCAATTTATACTGCGCGCGCAACCTCGCATGCGCTCTATTATTTATAATTAATTTTTCTACAGAAATTCAAAAGGTTTAGATATTTATAAAGGTTTGTTATATATACAATATATATATATATATATATATATATATATATATATATATATATATATATATATATATATATATATATATATATATATATATATATAAAAATACATATAATATGTACCTACCAGAGGCAGATTGTACATAAGTCATTTGCTTGGGCACCTCTGTCCCATTCGTGTTTCAACCGTGAAGCAGTTGTGTTTGCATGGCTGTGTTTCGGTTTGAAGGGTGGGATATGGCAGTGAATTTACAGGGTACAGAGGAATAACAGTCTAGTCCTCAGGAATACGAAACGGTATACTCTGTTATGTTCATAGTACTGCTCATGTCTATAGGCGACGGTTACTACTTACAAACAGGTGGGCCGCCATTTTAAGTTACATAAAAAAAATTACTGACAAAACTGAAGATTTACCAATGTGCGGGCTTTTACAGTAACATATACATGTATCAGACGATAAAAAAACACATACAAGAGTACGTGACGATGAGTTTTTGTCAGATTTACCGTGACGTATCCATCGTGCAAGATAAATATGTTTGTTTGAGATATATTCTATTCAGATTCGACCCGATCATTTGTGTTACAACATGAAACTCTTTGTGATACTGTTCGTTCTGGTTTCTGTTCTCAATTCTAGTTATGGAGAAGAAGAAGAGAATAGAGGTATGGTAAATATGTTCTACTATAGTCTATTGCAATAGAATTCAATAAAAATATAAACAAATAAATAACATTTATGTTTCTTAGAAAATATAGATAGAGCATCGAGTCTCAAAAATAGGTCAACTTTTTGTCAATTCATTGTCAAATTAGCCGAGTCGTTTTTTTATCAACGTTCTATATACTTACGTATAAAATGTATCTTGACGTATTATTTAATAAATAAAATGAGTGTTTACTCATTAAAAAGATGCAGAAATTATAAGACAAAGTGAATATAGAAGTTATAAAGGAATCACTCATAACTATTTATCACGTAAAATTGTATGAAAAAGTTGACCCGTTTTTTGTCTGTGTTCTATATACTTACGCACATAATGTATGTGTACGTATTTATATTCAATTATTTAATAAATAAATAGAGTGTTAACGAATTAAAAAGACGTAAAGTTATAAAACAAAATAAATATAGAAGTTATAAAGGAAACACTCATGACTATTTATCATGTAAAATTGTATGAAAAAGTTGATACGTTTTTCTCGAAGCATTTGTATGGAGACACTCTATCTATATAATCTATGATCATAGCCAGTGCTGATTTTCAATAGAGGTGCAAAAAAAGACGATTCAATGGAATGAATGTTTGGATACATACACTAACTAGTGATCCGTCCTGACTTCACACGTGTAGATGCCATATTTATTATAGGATAGACTTTTACCAGAGGGAGACTTTGTACAAAAGTCGTTTGGGTGAGTACCTCTGCTCCATTCGTGTTTACCGTGAAGCTGTTGAAATTTACATGGCTATGTTTCGGTTTGAAGGGTGGGATATGACAGTGAATTTACAGGTTACAGAGGAATAACACCTGAGTCCTCAGGAATGGCAACGCATGGGGGGTATCATGGGCGAAACAGTATACTATGTTATGTCCATGGTACTGCTCATGTCTATAGGCGACGGTTACCACTTTCCATCAGGTGGACCGTCCGTCAACTTGTTTGCCATTCTAAGTTGTATAAAAAAAATGTCCAGTAATGAGTCGTAATTGATGTTTTATTGTTTTTTTTTTTATAGATCCCTGCCAATTTCCAATAGAAAGTGGCATGTGCTTTGGATATACAGAAGTGTGAGTATAATTATTTATTAGTTATTAGCTATACGAGTATACTGCGGTTTTGCCCGTGGAAATTAGTAAGTCGTAAGGCAGTTAAGTTAGTTAATTTAATTCAAAGTTCAAGTATAAAGGAGGACAAGAAGAATAAATCTTTTGTTAGCAAAATAAATGCATAAAAAATAAATAAATACATTAATTTGAACAATTAGTTATCAATGTGTGAATGGGTACCGTCACCAAAGCTTAACTTCGGTCGGTAACCCACCTGCCAAGCGTGGCTACTACTGGAAAACCCTCCAAGGCGGAAGGTTTTCCCAAGAGACTACAGCATGGGGTTCTTCAAAAGAGGGGTAAAGAGGTTTCTTCAGGGTCGGCAACGCACGCGTAATACCTCTGGTATTGCAGGTGTTCATAGGCTACGGTAACCACTTACCATCAGGTGGGCCGTATGCTTGTTTGCCACCTCAGTGGTATAAAAAAAAGGCCTATGTCCAGCAATGGACAGTTAACAATATGGTAAGTATATAGTAACAAATATACAAACAATCAAACAGCTTAACATTTTTTTTATATTTGCTGGGAGAGAATGCTATATAGTATTAAGTCCGCCTTTTGTACCAGACATTTTTTTTGTAATGTGGTCAGTAAAGAATAAATAAAAAAAAAAATAGTATTTGTTATATTGACGTGTAAGTCCCGGCATAGAATGGACCACCCTTTCCTTTCCCGTGGGTGTCGTAAGAGGCGACTATGGGAACTTAATGGTCAAGGGATGGACAGCAGCGTCCCTCTTAAAACATCTCCAAAGCCTAACTGCGGTTGCCAACCCGCCTGCCAAGAGTGGTAAGTTCTGGCAAAATCCTCCAAGGGAGAGGTCTATGTCCAAAAGTGGACAGTTAAAGGCTGATATTAATTAATAAGTTAGTAAAATTGTTAGTTTCATATTACAGAGTGCTCATGTTTTTTTTTGTTTCAGCTACGGTTACAATGTTACAAACAATGAATGTAGATTGTTTGTCTATGGTGGTTGTATGGGGAACGAGAATAGATTTAACACTAAGGAGGAATGTGAGAAAACATGTTTGAATAATGAATAAACGATAATCAATTATTTAATCTTTTTATTTACTTTTTTTTTTTTTTATACAACTTAGAATGGCAAACAAGCTGACGGCCCACCTGATGGAAAGTGGTAACCGTCGCCTATAGACATGAGCAGTACCATGGACATAACAGAGTATACTGTTTCACCCATGATACCCCCATGCGTTGCCATTCCTGAGGACTCAGGTGTTATTCCTCTGTACCCAGTAAATTCACGCCATATCCCACCCTTCAAACCGAAACACAGCCATGCAAACACAACTGCTTCACGGTTGAAACACGAATGGGACAGAGGTACCCAAGCAATCGACTTTTGTACAAAGTCTCCCTCTGGTCTTTTTTCTTTGTAAAATTTAACCCCATAATTACATTTCTGTTTTGCCAAAGGTTGACTGCGAGAGAATGCTATATAGTATTAAGTCCGCCTTTGGTACCAGACATTTCTTTTTCTTTATTGTGATCAATTAAGAATAAATAAATAAGTATAAATAAAATAAAAGGGCTGAAAACGCGCACGTGACACCATTAGTGTTGCAGCGTTTACTGTCAAACGGGCTGTATAGTATGGAAAGTGGTAACCGTCGCCTATAGACATGAGCAGTACCGTGGATATAACAGAGCACACTGTTTCGCCCATGATACCCCCCATGCGTTGCCATTCCTGAGGACTCAGGTGTTATGTCTCTGTACCCTGTAAATTCACTGCCATATCCCATCCTTCAAACCGAAACACAGCCATGCAAACACGACTGCTATACAGTAGAAACACGAATGGGACAGAGGTTCCAAGAAAATGACTTTTGTACAGTCCCTCTCTATATTATATATATATATATATATATATATATATATAAATGCTTTTTATGAGAGAAATAGTCGCCAAAACAATATTGTTATTTATTACATAAATACATACATATCTGTCACGCCTGTCTCCCATTAGGGTAGGCAGAAACAATGGAACGCCAAATGCTTCGATTCAAACATACCTCTTTCGCTTCCTCCACATTCATCAATCTTTTCATACACGCTCGCCGGTTACGGGTACTTTTAATTTGGCCCTTCTTCAGCACGTCGCCTATTTGGTAGACATACGTCCGTCTAGGGCGGCCCCTACCGACATCTCCATTCATTCTTGTTCGATAAATCTCTTTCGTAGTTCTTCTTTCATCCATCCTCTCCAAATGACCAAACCAACGCAACATTCCTTTTTCGATTTTTGTCACTATTATTTATTTTTATAATACTATTATTTATAATATAATACTGTTATTTATTATAATAATAAATTAATAATATAATATAATAAATTATAAACATCACAATCTTGCAAAAACAAGCAGCCATTCACACATCAACCATACTCAGCAAAGTATTGGGAGATACCGTATTTGTACAAAATACACAAAATCATCACACTCAAGACACACACCGGTCACCAACCATCCAACAGGCAACTAACACACAACACTCAACGAACACACCAGATTCATCCAACACAATTCATACATCAAACACACAATCACTCACAAATTCAGTATACACTCTAAAGAGAAGGCGAGGTAGAAGACGGACATAAAAATAAAACTGGGGCATACGTACCTTTTTTCCTGTGGGTTACAGGACGGGGTATGTTTTTAAGCCGACATAAGTCGAGAAGGTGAAAACCAATAAGTATAATAATATTATTTTCTTTAGAATTTTTGTTTGTCTGTCTATATGCATGTTTGCAGTTTTCACAATTGTATTCCTGAAAGTATAACTTAAAGACTGGTTGTTCATTTTACCTTGATACGCAACCTAGAAGGGTTTTTTTATACATTTTTCTTACTGGAAAAATATACTTGTCCAATTCCAAAATCTACGCGCGCGATGTCGCGGGCAAAAACTAGTGAAGACTATAAATATAATAATCTCTGAACTGTGACACGAGACCAATAAATAAGTAGAATATGAACCTGCCGATAACCTTGCATTCAACGTAATTTTGATATTGAACATGGACGGCGGGGAAAACCTATTCAAGGTTTAAAATTTATTTTCAATTAAATTGTGTTACACAAAAAATAACTAAGGTTCAGTTCTAAATAAACCAGTTTTGATTTAAAAACAAAGATACAGTTCTGAAAAAAAAAACAGGTATATTCATTTAAAAACAAAGAGTCAGTTCTGAAAAAAGAAACAGTTATTTTGATTTTAAAACAATGATTTAGAGGGAGACTTTGTACAACAGTCGATTGCTTGGGTACCTCTGTCCCATTCGTGTTTCTACCGTGAAGCAGTTGTGTTTGCATGGCTGTGTTTCGGTTTGAAGGGTGGGATATGGCGTGAATTTACTGGGTACAGAGGAATAACATGCGTTATCCCCATGCGTTGCCATTCCTGAGTCCTCAGGAATGGCAACGCATGGGGGATATCATGGGCGAAACAGTATACTCTGTTACGTCCATGGTACTGCTCATGTGTATAGGCGACGGTTACCACTTTCCATCAGGTGGGCCGTCAGCTTGTTTGCCATACTAAGTAGTATAAAAAAAATACATTTCTCATTACTTTTACAGTAAATAAATAAATGAATAATGCATTTTTATATTGTAATTATCCGCGTGTTACAAGACATAAATCAGAGAGCGAATTCAGTAATATTCGATTTCATTTACCAAGTCATCAAAACCACGTGTGCCTAACATCAAACATCAGGGGGGAAAAGGATTGTTAGCAATGGAGTTTGACAGCCCCATTGCTAGCAATATGCCTTATTAGGTCGACCTCCACGTGGTCCCCCTGGAAACCATCGTGAAGAATTCTTGTTGAATTCGTCACGATTACAGATGGGCAAAGCACCGGGTTTAAACCCGGTGCTTTGGTAAAAACCCAATAAACACCCATAAACTCCCATAATCACCCAAAAAAATAGGTTTTTACGTATTTTTTGAAAATATGTAAGTAATACCAATAAATTATTTTTATAAATTGTATTGATCAATTCTACAATATTAAATAAAACGTTAACTAATAATATTTCAGGAAATTTTAAAAATCTATATATAATAAAATGAAAGTAATTAATTTTCAGTGTTTTCATGTTGCAGTTGATCAACATGTTGGCCTTTTGCTTCCCGTAGATACTTTAAAATTTCTTCATAACACCTCGTTCGCACACATGGCCGTATATATTTAAATTCTTGAGCCACTAACAGTCCGAAATACTCATTTCTTTTATCCTCTTCTCCATAAATTAAGCATTTAGAACAGTTTGTTTCTTCTTTCAGTAAATTTTCTTTTACTTTATCCTCGTTTTTTTCTTTGTTGCGACGACGCTGGGTAAATCATCTGGACACTGGGTCTCACTATCGCCAAATATATTTGGAGATCGGCTTCGGCTACGGCTTGGCAGACATTTTTTTCTTTCTACAATTTTAAATTAAATTTATTAGAATAAATGCTTCGAACACACGCGATCTAAGTACCTTTTGTGTTTATTATACCTTACCTACCTAGGTATAAAAAGAGTACTTACGTAGATTTTCTTTTATTAACTGTTTTATACGAAGATCTTGATCTCTCAAATTAGCATCCATTTTACTTCCAGTGATTATCAACTAAATTAATAATCCACAAAGTATTAAATAACGTTTTTATGAAATATTTAGCACAAAAACAATACCCTTTAAATATCGATCGTCAGTAACTGTGGCTGACTTACCTATATTCTAGCAAGCAGGACTGCCAGATGTGAAGGGGAAATCCCCAATAAATTGTTGCATGTGACTGATGATGTGAGCATGTTCGTTTCATAATAAAAATGTTGCCAGGTAACCAAAAAGTCGTATGTTTTTGTGCGAATTACGATCATAATCTTTACGATCGTACATTAAAAAATAGACAAATAATAGTATGAGTACGATTTAAATCGTATATCTGTCAACCCTGCTAGCAAGACAGCGACAAAATCACGTTGCATAACAATGTAGCCCAAGCTTATATCTTATGAAATATACGGAAGAGATACGGACTTAGAAAAAACAGAAATGTTGTTCTTTGTGGAAGTCATTGATGAAATTCTATGTATTTTAGCCCGCAAACTTTCTTCAAACAAAAACAGCGCCATCTAGTATCGAGTTCTGTAATTATCTCTTTGTTTATGGATTTGAAGTAAGACCGCCACGCATGCAATACATTATGACTGGGGATTCCCCTATTCGTCGACGCTGAATATGAGGCGACGACAATCACTGTCAAACGTGTTCACTATTACTCTGACTCTGGTAACGTGACTTCCTGGTAACGTGTTAGGTAGGAAAAGCAGTAAAAAAGTGCATATTAAGGGAGCAGATTTGAAATAATATTTATACTTAACAAGAAATAATTAAAGGTAAGTGGATTTTTGAATGATACAATTATATCATGATCACTTAACAATTTTAACTTAAAATTAGATGTATTATTACAAGCTTTTATTTAGCTTGCGTTATGTAAATAAAAGTATGTAGGTATGTTCGTATGTTGATGCAATTATCCTCAATCCTCAACCGACTGGGATAAAATTTTCCATACACGTTTATTTTGGATGATAGTGCATAGTTAGCTGAGAGTCGTCATTGGATAATAATGGTGGATAGCCTAAGATGTGTACTAGATATTTATTTTTAACATAATATGCGTAAGTACCTAATCGAATTAAAGAAGTTGCTGAGAAAAATACAGAACAATACGATAATAAACTAGCGTCTGCGTTTAATCCTCCGAGGAGATGTAATTTTACAAAGGTTTTTTGTATTTATTTTATTATTTTTTTAATAAATTTATTGTAAATAACAAGAAATAATCATTGTAAAAAAATAGGCACTCTATTGTTGAATTTTCGTCAGACCAACTAATCATCGTTCATTTTTTTAGGTTCAATGGGGAGACCTAAAGATTTACGCATATGGGAGCACTACCGTACTTTACCAAACAAGTCTGTTTCTTGCAAGCTTTGTAATAAGGTCTACAAATTCAGTAATGCTGCCAAAATGCTTCAACATCTTATCACTTGTCCAAAATCTCCAGAAACATTAAAAGACTCTATGAAACTTATAAAAGATAGCTCGTCCAAAACCAAAATGTCTGGACTGTCAGAGATAGAGACAAATGATTCTTTTATAAGCCCCTCGTCGTCTGCTAACACTACAATAAATGCTGAGTTTCAAGACACCGATGATCATATAAAAACAGAATTAGCGAGAGCTATATTTGTAACAGGGACGCCATTATCGATGGTGCAACATCCTTTATGGATACAATTTTTCGAAAAATTGCAACCAAAATTTAAAATACCTTCACGTAAAGCTTTAGCGACAAAATACTTAGATAAAATATATAGAGAAATGCGTTTTGAGTTAAATGAGGAACTAAATGCTTGTAGTTACTTACACCTTCAGTGCGATGGCTGGTCTAATTTAAGAAATGAAGGAATAATAAACTTTCTTATATCAAAACCTCAACCTGCATACGTTAAAAGTTTGAATACAGAAAGTAATCCTCACACTAGTGAATACCTTAGCCAAGAAGTTGAAAAAGTAATGAAAGTGTATGGAGCAAATAAGTTTCTTGTACTTATTGGCGATAACGCTAGAAATATACAAAAGGCATTCGAATTAACAAAACTCAAATATCCACATGTTGTTCCTCTCGGTTGCTGTGCACATATCCTTAACTTGTTGTGCCAAGATATTGTAAAGATACAAGAAGTAACTGTGTTTATTATGCAAGCCATAAATATAATAAAAACTGTTAAAAGGAGTCAACGATTAAGTTCCTTGTTGATAAAATCAAGGCAGGGTGAAGATTCTACACAAACACTAAAATTGCCTTGTGCTACAAGATGGGGAAGTCATGTTACTTCGTTAAAAAGTTTGAAAGCAAATAAGATAGCTTTGCAAATATTAACAGTTAGAGAAGATGTGGTAATTTCAAGAGATATTAAAGATTTAATTCTAAGTGATGATTTCTGGACGAAGACAGGGGAATGTATAAGTATTTTGGAACCAGTCACTGAAAGCATATTTTACTTAGAGAGCGACCAGAATCGTTTGCATCGCACATACATTACATTTAGAGATGTACAAGCTAAGATACGTTTTGCATTAAATGAGATTTCGACATTGAGCGAAGAAAGCAAACAGCAGATTCTAACATCAGTATCTTCAAGATGCAATATGGCAATGAGGCCAATACATTTTGCAGCATATATTCTAGACCCCAGGACTCTAGGAGTCGAACTTACTCAAGAGGAAGAACTTAAGGGTATGGAGTTTATCTACAATTTAAGCCAACACTTAAGTTTGTCAAATGTAATGGCAGATTTGGCGTGTTATAAAGCTAAAGAAAACTTTTGGGCCAGAGGATTTGTATGGAGCTCATTAGATAGCATTGAGCCCCTAATATGGTGGAAAGGTATTTGTGGTTCCACTGAGTTAAGCAAAGTAGCGATTCGTATTCTATCAGCTCCCTGTACTTCGGCAGCCACTGAGCGTTCCTTTAGTATCCAAGGCTACATACATAATAACAAAAGAAATCGACTTACAACTGAAAGAACTGAAAAAATTTCATTCATTTGTTATAACTGGAATCTTAAACATAAAGCTGAATGCGAGGACATTCAGTTTAATGAAGAAAATACCTTAGAAGCTTTCATTGAGCAAGTAAATGAACATAACAGTTTAGACGAAATAGAGCCTATCGAACCTATACAATTCATCGCTTGTAATAACTCTGAATCTGACAGTGATTGACTGTAGTTTTACATTTTACTTTCATCTCTTTCTTAATAAACTCAAAATCAAATTAAAAGTTTTTTATTCTGTAGGCTGCATAATAATATTGTCTATGTCCAGTATAGTGGACGTCTTGCGGCTGAGATGACGATGATGAAGTACAAAAGCATAAACACCCAAAAATTTGGGTGTTTATGGGGTTTAAACCCAATAAACCCAAAACACCCGGTTTTTACCCACCAGACTTTAAACCCACCCAGGTGGATTGCCCATCTCTAGTCACGATGCGCTAACTGACCTGCTTCATCCTCACCTATCATCCTTCACTGGTGCCCCGCCGGTGTATACCGATAGCGCGGGCGGGGTTACCATTCCATTATCATCAATTAAAACATCAAACATCATTTACGTGCACAATGATTATTACGATGATCAATCAACACAAAATTATTATAATATAGGAATAAAAACTTATATGTAGGAAAAAAGCAATTATGAAACATTTTTCCTGATTATTCAATATGTGATGGTCATTTAACTGAAGTCGTGACTATAACTAATGATTATAAGATGACGTACAAACAATTGGAGGGGAGTGCTCTGAAAAATTGTTCGGATTGATACCTGCTGCTGATTTTCACCACCGTACAACCCGCCACAAACTAAAGTTTCATCCCAACCATCTGGACGAGCGGCGGTCCTCCACCGTGCGTTTTTCAAGGCACTTTCTTCCACGCACAACCACTCTTTGGAATCAACTTCCAGCAGCAGTATTTCCGAATCAATACGATATCGTAACCTTCAAGAAAAGAGCATATTCCTTTTTAAAAGGCCGGCAGCATACCTGCAATGCCGTTGGTGTTGCAGGTGTTTATGGGCGGCGGTAGTCACTTACCATCAGGTGAGATACGTGTGCGTTTGCCTCCTATGTTATAAAAAAAAAAAACTCATAAAGTCTTAACGGCTCAATATGAAATTCTGAAAAAAAAAATATAAAAATTAAATTATTAATATTTAAAAGTGTTTGTAAACAAGTATATTTGAATACAGATGATTTGAATTTGAATTATTAATAATAATAATAAAATATAAGATTTTTCTGTCGGTATAAAATAAAATGATGTAAATTCTATCAGATTGTAGCCGCGTGGTCCATTTTTTCGTGGATATCGTAAGAAGCGACTAAGGGAACTTTTTTATGCAACTTAAAATGGCAAACAAGCTGACGACCCACCTGGTGGAAAGTGGTAACCGTCGCCTATAGACATGAGCAGTACCATGGACATAACAGAGTATACTGTTTCGCCCACGATACCCCCCATGCGTTGCCATTCATAAGGACTCAAGTGTTATTCCTCTGTACTTTGTAAATTCACTACCATATCCCAGCCTTCAAACCGAAACACAGCTATGCAAACATAACGGTAGAAACACGAATGGGACAGACGTGCCCCAAGCAAACGAATTTTGTACAAATTCTTCCAGTCAGAGGGTGAGTCCAGCAATCACAAATGAACACAATTTTATTCATTAAATCGTTTAAATTCTATTTTGAATTAAGCAATATTTATTTACACAAACAAACAGGATAATAAAATTACATTACTCAATCAATATATATATATATATATATATATATATATATATGTGACACACTTACAAGCTATATAAACATGTTTTTTAATATGAAGGCCTTCAGTTCTTTCGATAGCGCACTGCCAGTCACAATGTCCAGATTATTTATATTCGTATTTATTGCATTTTGTGTTAATAATATTTTCACTTTAGGTAAGTATATATTTATTTTATTTTATTTTATTTTATTCATTTACACTTTATTGCACCAAGTAAAAGGAGAAATAACAAATACAGTAAATATTAATGAGAAGTGATACAAAAGGCGGACTTATCGCTAAGCAATCTCTTCCAGACAACCTTTGGGTAGAGGACATTGAGAAAAAGACAAAGGGTAGGTGGCGCACTGTTATGTAAATATTATCATATACAAACATATATACATAGGGGGGAAAGGGATTGTTAGTAATGGAGACTGAGAATCTCATTGCTAGCAATATACCCAACCAGGTCGACCTCCTCGCGGTTCCCCCTGGAAACTATCATGGTTAATTCCTGATAAATTCACCATGATGGGCTAACTGGCCTGTTTTCATTCTCATCTATCACCCTTCACTGGTGCCCCGAACGAAGAGAGAATACACGAAAATAGTACTAAAGTGAGAGGTAGTAGGATTTAACAGAGGTTTTGAAGCTAGTAAGAGTTCGAGCGCACCGAATATAATATCCTTAGATTATATAAAGAGAGTCCATCAACGTTTAGAAATCCTCGGTGAGGTCGCTCCGTGAGGCCTGTGAAGAACCCAGGAAGCTTCTGCGCTTCTGGGCGGAGCTAGGTTGGCTGCACTAGCCACGACTCATACGCACAACGGCCCAAATGAGAGGCTAAGCGCGGAAAATAGAGTCTTTTTCACATTCACATTCACATAAAGAGAGCATCGATTCTCAAAAAAGGGTCCACTTTCTATCAGCTAATTGTCAAATTAACTGACACGTTTTTTTTAATCAGTATTCTATATACTTACGCATACAATGTATCTTGATGTATTATTTAATAAATTAAATGAGTGTTTACACATTCAAAAGATGCAGAAGTTGTAAGACAAAATTTTATTTAACTGTATATTTGTTTATGTACACTAAATATTAATAGTTGTAACACTTCAGTTGCCCGCTAACAGCATGCTTTCTAACTGCATTGGGTTGACTGGAAGAGATCTCTGTCAGAGATAAGTCCACCCTTGCTCACAATATTTATAAATGCATTATATTATATGTAACTTACAAGTGCAATAAAGAATATAATAAATATAGAAGTTATAAAGGAAACACTCGTAACTATTTATCACGCAAAATTGTAAAAAAAGTTGCGTGTCAACTTTTGCGTGTATTTTAAATCACAATAAAATAGAAATAAAAAATTTGTTAAAAAAATGAAAAAAAAAATTTAGGGGTAGGTCACCCTCATCATTGTGGGGTATGAAAAATAGATGTTGGCCGATTCTCAGACCTACCCGATATGCACATAAAATATCATAAAAATCGGTAATGTCGTTTCGGAGGAGTTTGGTAACAAACACCGCGACACGAGAATTTTATATATTAGAGATATTGCAAGTGACTATACTTATTTTGTTATTCCTCTCTCGTTCCAGATCCCAAATGTACGTTGCCATTGGAAACAGGAATTTGCAGAGCTGAATTACACAGGTAAGTAATTTACATTCATACAGATTATCGAATGTTCTAAAATATTTATAAACATTTATAGCGTAATTACATGAAAAAATTTTAATTTTGTGGTTTATTTTCCGGATTTGTGTTATATTCCGTCATAGCACACGTAAATGTAACAATCTACATTCATTTAAAACTAATCCCACTTCAAAATGTAAAAATATTTAGAAATTTTTATTATACTCGTATAGTCCCATATTTTGCATACTCCCGCCAAATCAGCTTCGAGCATATATTGTGTATTTTATTGTTCTACTGTCTATCTCGCTCTAACATGTATGTTATTATATTTTCTTTCTTTTTTTATATACCACTAAGGTGGAATTTTACATTGCTAATCTATACACTTTATAATGTAAGATTATAATAAATCTTTTATTTTCCAGATTCGGTTACGATACTAAACTGAAGGAATGTACGCAATTCGTGTACGGCGGTTGCCATGGCAACGAAAACAATTTCAAATCTTTGGAGGATTGTCGAGCGGCCTGCAAGTAGAATATACAAACCATATTGAACTCTATTCTTAAAGAAATAAGTATCAAACTACCACACAGACTTTAACATGTCACTGCGAATCGTACAACTGCTTCTACAGAAACTTAGATAAAGAAATTAATGACTGACCCGAAGATAAAACAATTCGCTGATGTCCAATAGCGGTGCAAATAAAAAATCGATCGATTCATTGAACATTTCAATTGTTTGCTACCAATTTTTTTTAGAGGTATTTCTGTGATAAGTTCTATTGAAACAGTAGACTATATTTTCGTATAACCCGCCCATGTAAATGTGCCAGTTCATTAATATTACGTTCTCAGCGTATGAGGCCTATTTAACTCGGCGGGTTATACTAAGTGGTTCGTATTATGATTTATGTTAATATGTTATTTTAACATGTTATTTTAATTATTTGAACAAGTCTGTTTAAAATATTTTAAAAATACATTTTTATATTCTTTAAATTTCATCATCAGAATTCAGGCATAACACATCAGTATAGTGTAACATCTTTTTTTTTTTAATTATGTAAATAACTTTATTGAGCAAAATAAAGTATGGTACAAAAGGCGAACTAAATGCTAGTAGCATTCTCTACCAGTCAACTTTAGGGGGTGAACAGTGAATCACCTATGTGGTACTTCATTATTGAGATAGATAAAGAAAAAAACAATTATTAATGCATATCTAAGAAATAAATATTACACATATAAATAATATATTTTTTTTTTATTTTTATACAACTTAGAATGGCAAACAAGTTGACGGACGGCTCACCTGATGGAAAGTGGTAACCGTCGCCTATAGACATGAGCAGTACCATGGACATAACATAGTATACTGTTTCGCCCATGATACCCCCCATGCGTTGCCATTCCTGAGGACTCAGGTGTTATTCCTCTGTACCCAGTAAATTCACGCCATATCCCACCCTTCAAACCGAAACACAGCCATGCAAACACAACTGCTTCACGGTTGAAACACGAATGGGACAGAGGTACCCAAGCAATCGACTTTTGTACAAAGTCTCCCTCTGGTATGTTATTTATGTTTATATTTCTTTATATCAGAGGCCATCTTTTTAATTACTATTAATGTAAATGTTACGTTGGCAATAATAAATGTAAAGTTTTTTTTTTAATTCATAATGTATGTAACTTTTTGTTGTTGTCAATAAATGTTTTCTTTCTTTCTTTCTAAATATAATGTTAAATAATTCTTTAAAGTTATAACAATAAAAAAATAAACAGTTTTAGTTTGGTTACTTTTATTTCATTAGAATCACAGTAACACGGCTTGATTTGCAGGTTTACTCTTCGATTTAATATCGATATTAATTCAATCTAATGACATATATATATATATATATATATATATATATATATATATATATATATATATATATATATATATATATATATATATATATATATATATATATAAGCTATTAAGTCGCTAGCATTGTAATACGAGTGTGCGAAACATTTTAATGGCCCATCGTCATGTGATGAATTTACCAATAACTAATGACGACGGTTTCCAGAGTGAACCACGTGGAGGTCAACCTGACATGATACGTTGCTAGCAATGGGGCCGCTAGTCCCCGGTACAAACAATCCCATTACCCCTTTTACCACAAGTCTACACTACTATTGTAAACTAGAAGGATTTGACTGTTTGTTTGTTAAGGTAAATTTATAACTACACAACCGATTTCAAAAATAAAATATCAATTAATAATACGTGCTATATTATTTCTATCTACCCGTGCGAAGCCGGGGTGGATCACTAGTTATAAATAATTATAAGACAAGTCTATATTATCTTTATTAATATCAATTCCACGTGCTTATAAAGGAATGGAGTGGATTTCGTGTTGGCCCAATCTTGGAACGAACGTTTGACCAGACATGCAAACGTTGGCAGTCTAATACAATATTTTCATTCTGTATTCAGTCTTGACTGGTGCTGCTGTGACAACTGTCACAGGCATGATGAGCTCAACTGGGCTGCGAGGTATTTTACACTTCACGATTTGAACAAAAAATTTTATTAAAAAATAAGTAAAGAATATATATAAGGGGTTCCCAAACTTATTGTGTCTACTGCCCACTTTGAGAATAAATTATTTTTTAGCGCCCCCATTTTTATACCTACTTAAAACCACTATTACTTAAAGATCAATAAATCACCCCCAAGCCTCTACACAACACCACCGATTTTCTTTCTGGATCTCTTACCGTCCCCTTTTAGACCTACAGTGCCCACAATGGGGCGTTATCGCCCACTTTGGGAAAGACTGATATAAATAGAGCATCGAGTTTGTAAAACGGGTCAACTTTTTGTCAGCTAATAGTCAAATTAGCTGACTCGTTTTTTTTATCACTATTCTATATTTACGCATAAAATGTGTCTTGACGTATTATTTAATCAATAAAATTAGTGTTCACGCATTAAAAAGACGCAGAAATTGTAAAACAAAATTACTATAGAAGTTGTAAAGGAATCATAACTATTTATCAAGCAAAATTGTATGAAAAAGTCGACTCGTTTTCCTCGAAGCATTTGAATGGAGACACTCTATCTATGATAATCTAGAGAATAAATATGTGATCCGCCATTTTCTGACGGCGGCCATCTTAAATTTACAATGTTAGTGAATGCAAATGTAATGTTGTCAGAATAAAAGGTGTACACCAAATATCAGATCAATCAGTCAATAGGAAGAAGTTAATTCTAGGATTATAAATCACTAGATTAATTAATCACTGACTGATTTTCATCCATCCCCGTCTGTCACCCCTCACTGGTACCCCGCCAGCCACCCAGTATCGCGGATACCATTTCATTTTTGTCCCATTAAAAAAAGAATGTGTTTTTGTTGTTCTAATCGCCTTTTTACGGACCAAAATGCCATTTATTATTTTCCTTGTGCATTAGTGTCAGAATTGAAGCATATTCCTAAAAACATTGTTCTGCAACATTGCTATTTCATACCATCAGGCGCTTTACATAGTAGAGACGATCGACCGTGAGAGTCTCTGATGTCCACTAATTCGTAACCATGGGTTTCAGAAGTAGAAAAAATAATGAAATAGGCCACTTTTAGATATTATAGGCTTATTATATCTTAATAAGCCTATACCAGAATACAGACAAACAGATACCAGATTTTAAGATAGATCTTCAGGAACGTAACTGTAAAAATCACATACAATTTCGTGCAACAGCTTTTACGTCAGAAAATTAACGAACAGACGCAATTTCTACAAATTAATGTTTTCGTTTCTCTTTGATCGCTGGTATATGCGATATGGAACAGTTTATGAAATAAGTCCGATATTAAGAGATTTATTTTATTATTATAATATACAAAGAAGACGACATGTTGGTGTTGTATTACATACAGTACAGATTCTCAATGCCAATGCTAGTGCTGCCAATATGTATAACATAGATAATAAATGATATATGAAACAGTTTCTATTTCTCAATTTTTCTTAAATCTCTCCTTTATACAAACATTGTTCACTTACAATTTAATTATATTATATATTTACTAGTGGCGGGTACAACCCGCGACTTTATATTAATTGACCAGAATCCTTCTCCATTTCATATAGTGGAAAAAGTGGTAGTTTGAAACCAAATTTCATATTGATTGGTTAAGCTGTTAAGGCGCTATGAGTAATCAAACAAACAAACTCCCTTTCACATTACAATAGCGTTTTGTTTTAATACTAATTTTAATATACATTAATATACATTTTTATATATACCAGAGGGAGACTTTGTACAAAAGTCGATTGCATGGGTACCTCTGTCCTAAAGTGTTTCTACCGTGAAGCAGTTGTGTTTGCATGGTTTGAAGGGCGGGATATGGCGTGAATTTACATGGTACAGAGGAATAACACCTGCGTCCTCAGGAATGGCAACGCAAGGGGGTATCATGGGCGAAACAGTATACTCTGTTATGTCCATGGCACTGCTCATGTCTATAGGCGACGGTTACCACTTTCCATCAGGTGGGCCGTCAGCTTGTTTGCCATTCTAAGTTGTTTAAAAAGAAAATTAATAAAATTCAATTAAAATTAGAGAATCGTGTCTTTATCGTATCGTGGCATATAAATACAGAACGAGGCGTCCTCTAAACTGAGTTTGGCGTTAAAATGATTTAGATGTATAGTATTCTTTGGAATTTATGAATGCTCTCCCAAAAATAAGTTTCCAACGTAACCTGACCTCTCTTTAAGTGCTTGTTATACGACGTGGAGGATCGTAAATTTCGGACAATGCTTTTATGCATTTAAATCGTTTACGGAGGTCGTTACGGTGTGTAGATGCATTTTAGTGGTTTATTTTTAATATATTCGGTATATTTTAGTGACAATTAGTGAGTGAGATTTGAGATTTTAGAAGTAATTATCGTAACACGCGAGGGTTGCGTTTTTAGCGGTTTATTTGATGTTTTTTTTTTTTGTTTTCTGTATCGTATCGTATGTCGTTTTTAATTGAATTAAAAGCAGGGGGTTTACCATGAAATGAGATTACGAAATTCCGTATTCAATTTCGTGCCTTTATTTATACCAAAATCGATTTAGTAAAGGGAGCTTATAAATATTTGGTTAGTCATAAATCCTACTAAAATATCGTTCCTTTTGACTTTCATTAAAGGAACGATATTTTAATATTTTTAATATTGTTAAATAGCATGTGTTATGTAATTTTAACATTAAATTTGTTTTCCGTTCGGTTCCGAAATTACGGAAAACATTTCATGGCAGGCCCTCTGGAAATTTACGAGATGCGACGTCAAAAAAACAAAACAAATAACCAAGCATTAAATAGTAAAGTGAATAAATAAATAAATAAAAAAAAAAGAAATATACTTATATAAAGAGGACATTTTTGACTTTTTGTTTGTAATGTACAAATAATTAGTTGAACCAGGTGTTACCTCGCGGAAGTCCATATCACTGGTTATTTGTTTAGAATTATTTTGTTTAATTCCGCTACCATTAGTATGTATGTGACTGCCAACACTCGAAGATTGACTACTATTATTTTCAGTAGAAGTTCTAAAACTTATTATTACTTACTGATCTCCGACCGTTATCTAGTCCACGCACAAATTTCTTTCCAAGTGACTTCAAAAAGGAGATTCTCAATTCGGTTGTATCTATATAATTTTTATATTTGTTATCTCACAACTCCGTCAGTTGTATACCGATTTGGAAAATTTCTTTTATTTGATGAATATACAACTTAGAATGGCAAACAAGCTGACGACCCACCTGATGGAAAGTGGTAACCGTCGCCTATAGACATGAGCAGTACCATGGACATAACAGAGTATACTGTTTCGCCCATGATACCCCCTATGCGTTGCTATTCCTGAGGACTCAGGTGTTATTCCTCTGTACCTCACCTCTGTTCCTCTGTAAATTCACTGTCATATCCCACCAAAATTTTATCAATATCAGTTAAGTAATTTAGTTCTGATCAAAATAAATGTTTTTTTTTTTATGTAGAACACAATTTTAATTTATAAATTTACTAGCTGACTCGGCAAACGTTGTTTTACCATATACATTATTTCTAGAACTATACATGAAAATATATCGTACTACAATTATTGTATTCGAGTGTCATCTTGCAACCCTATTGCGGCATATAAAAATTGCGATTAAACAACAGCGGTTGATTGTAAAAGCGTGAAAATTTGTATTTGTATGTATTTTTCAATGCTAAATCGTAATAAAATAAAAATAAAAAAAATTGACAAAAATATTTAGGGATGGGTCACCCTTATCATTGAGGGGTATGAAAAATAGATGTTGGCCGATTCTCAGGCCTACCAGATATGCACACAAAATTTCATAAAAATCGGTAAATCCGTTACGGAGGAGTTTGGTAACAAACACCGTGACACGAGAATTTTATATATTAGAGATTAATTTTGAAAATACGAGTATTGAACTCTATTATTTTATGTATAAAATTAAATGTCATTTTATTTTGACACAGTCTGCGGCTGACATATTAATTAATTTTATTCGGTAAAATAATAATTTTGGAAATATGTTGATGTATTAATATTGAATATTGGGGCTTGTTATTGGCATTTAATATAAAAAAAAAAAAAAAAAAAAATATGTGAAAGAGCGACAAATGAGTTGATTTGATGGTAAGTGATTACCGTAGCCTACAGATAGTAATAATTTCAGGGGAGACGCCAATGTGTTGCCATTTTAT